GGCAACTCTTAGGAAAGGCCCAAACAGCCAGCTAGTTTGGGCCTGATGTTGAAGCTAATGATTATTAGTCTGGAGGACATATGTATGGCTGACATTCCACTGGTAATCCTGTAGCTGTTTTGAAGCCTCTTCTCTCCTGCCAACTCTACAGAAGCTGGAAATCCAGACATTCACTGTTCTAAACCTCCCTTTCATGGGTGGTCTTGTGACCCAGCTCAGGCTATTGAGAAATAAGTGTCTTGAAAGGACGCTGGGCAGATTTCCTTTCCTGATAAAAGGGAAAAAGGGCTTCTACATGTCTCCCCTTTCCACTGCTTCCCAATTTGTACAAGGGCATGATGTCTAGGCTTATGATAGCCATCTGTGACCATGAGGCAACAAGCCAGAGGATGAAACAACATGCTGAAGATGGCAGTGCATTAGACAAAAAGATCCTATTGATCAGCCACTAATGGGGAGGCAAGGTCATGTGCCAGATATTAGGCCCTGTACCTGGCACTGGTAGCATCAAGACTGAGGAAAACAGAGACTCGGTTTGCTTGAATCCTCACTTCTTTAGAATTTGAGCATGATGCAGTACTGAATCCTCATGGCCCCTGACATACTGAACACAAAGCATTGCAACCGGCAACCACTTTCCATAGGGGAGATGTTTGACATATCTATCAAGACTGGTACCTTGGAGGCGCCTGGGTGGCTCAGTAGGTTAAAGCCTTTGCCTTCGGCTCCGGTCATGATCCCAGGGTCCTGGGATCGAGCCCCGCGTTGGGCTCTCTGCTCCGCGGGAGCCTGCTTCCTCCTCTCTCTCTGCCTGCCTCTCTGCCTACTTGTGATCTCTGTGTGTCAAATAAATAAATAAAAACTTAAAAAAAAAAAAAAAGAATGGTACCTTGGCCGGGTCTAACCCAGGGTCTAGAAACAGAACTAAGAGGTTGAGGTTTTCCCTGGAGGTACTAGATTTACAGAAAGAAGCAACAAGAACAAAATCATTCTTGAAGACCACATAAACCTCAGATACTACAGAAATTGCAATGAGCCTAAATACAGGGGTATATATATTCCTGCACAAGTTAGGGGTCAAACTCCAGGCAGCAGCTGGGTTCTCCTGGCCCTGTCAGCAGCAAAAGGTAAACAGAAACAACTTGCTAACCAAAACTCAACCAAAAAAATCAACTTCAGCACGGGACTGGGGAATTCTAATATATTGTCCAGGCTACTAAGCAAAAGTCTGCCTTAAAAGTATTAACTGAAACAGAGATGCCTGGCTGGCTCAGTTGGAAGAGCACATGACTCTTGATCTCCAGGTCATGAGTTGGAACCCCACATTGAGTGTAGAGATTACTGAAGAAATAAAGAAATAAATCTAAAGAAATTAACTGGAACATGAATGTATCATACTACTGAAGTAAAAAGATGCACAAGAGAAGTGAGATGTGGCTTTTGACTCAGTGAACAGCATCTATAGCTAATGAAGGCTCAGAAAGCGTTTTTTATACACTCAACTATATTAAATTTGTATTTTGTTTTTTATTTAAAAAAAGCTTTACTTTTTTTCTAATCACAAAGGTATACATGCTTATGGAAAAATATTTAAATACAGAAATAAAAACTTCACTTTACCCATTGTATTAGTTTCCTATTGCTGCTATAACAAATCATCACACATTTAGTGGCTTAAAACAACAGAGATTTATTTTGTTACCCTTCTGAAGGTCAGAAATCTCAGTGCGCTAAGGTCAAGGGGTCGGGAGGGCTAGGGTTCCTCTGGAAATTTTGGGGGAGAATATCTTTCCTTGCCTTTTCCACTTTCTGGAAACCATCTGCATTCCTTGGCTCATGGCCCTTCCTCCATCTTTAAAGGCAGCAAGGTAGTATCTTTGAGTCTCTAACCCTGATACTGATTCTCCTGTCTCCCTTATTCACTTCTAGGGATTCTTGTGATTACAGTGGCCCCATCTGGATAATCTAGAATACTTTCCCTATCTCAAGGTCTACTGATTTCAATCCCTAATTCCATCTGCAACCTTAATTATCTCTTACCATGTAACATAACATAGTCTCAGGTTTCAGGGATTAGGATATTTTGAAGAGGCATTATTTTACCTATCACACCCATAATTTTACTAAACAGGATTAACCACAGTGAACATTTTAGTGAATAATACTTTCCAGACCACTTTCCATGCATATGCATATAGAAATCTAACTCTATACATTTATTTATGTATGTAGATATATAAAAATTGAATATTACACTTGTCTTTTGCTACTTGCTTATTCCACTTGAGCTCTTGGGAAATGTGTGTGTGTATAAATTTATACCCATTATTTTTAATAGCTATCACTTTATCATTTTACCATTGAATTATGTTTTTTGAGTATATACCATGTGTTAAACACAGCATTAAGTGTTCACTTAATTTAGTCCTTACAACAATATTATGAGCTAAGAGTTATTATTACCAACACTAACCCTTCAGAGCAAGGACACTGGAGGGCATTCATAGAGAGATCAGCTTGCTCAAGAGACACCTCTTCTGTTTAGTGGTAGTACTCATTTGAACTACCCCATAACCATGTTCTTCACCATATGGTGACCTGCTTCCTAGGATATGCCGAACAGATGTCCCTTAGGTTATTTAAACCTAGTGTCCCACTATAAACCATTTTGGCTGTTTGTAATTTTTTACTATTAAAAATAGCACTGATAAACAAGATCATATGCATGTCCTTGGACATACCTATGATTTTTTAAAGAACAATTCTTCAAAGCATTACTATATGCTAAGATTCTTTATATGTATTTCCAAAATGTCCTCCAGACAAAGTATAGTAATTCACACTCCCAGTGTCAACACTTTGAATTATTATTCTTTTTAATCTTAACAATATAATGAGGAAAATGGGCATATAATTTTTTCTTTGCTAATTTCTTTAAATGTTCTTTCACTATATTTTTTGGGATTTTTTTTTTCTTTTATGAAGTGCCTATTCATGTTGTTTGCCCAGGTTTCTATTTGGGAATTGATTAAGTTCCCAAATAGAATGGTTTGGATTTTGTAAAGGTCATCCCATACAGAAGGAACCATGAGTCAAAACAGAAGCTGAAAATACCTCAGAAAGCATGTTCAGGAAAAATAAAGAAAATAGACACAAAAAGTCATAAAATCCAGGGAGCACTGGGTGGCTCAGTCAGTTAAGCCTCTGACTTAGCTTGGGTCATGATGCCAAGGTCCTGGGATGGATCCCGGCTTTGGGATCCATGCTCAGCGGAGAGCCTGCTTCTCCTTCTGTCTACTGCTCCCTCTGCTTGTGTTTTCTCTTTCTCTGACAAAAATATAAATAAGATCTTAGAAAATAAATAAATAAATAAATAAATAAATAAATAATAAGTAAGGTCTTTAAAAAAAAAAAAGCCATAAAATCTAAAACAAATCCAGTAAGGAAGGGGGGGCGGTCACTGAATGCCCCCTTAGAGACTGGCCTCATTCATAGGCAATGGAGAGCAACGTGGTCCATATGAGATGATGAGTGGGAAGAATATTCTGGAGGCAGCATAAATGTTGGCTTGGGGGCGTCCAGTCTAGGTAGTCCATGAAGAGAGGAATTTCTCACGGGTAATGTGCTACAAGGGCTACAGAAACGCAAGGGAAGACAGGAAGACACGGGGGAGTAGAAAGCCGCCGCACCTTGCACGGTTCGCGCATGCGCACTCCGACAGCTGTGCCCTGGCAAAGTGGGGGCGGCACCGCCTCCCACTGCTGCGGTCTCTGGAACCCCCCAAACTACTGGGACTTGCACCCTACTGTGGTGGCCTGAAACTGCCACTCCTGGACACAGGAACAGAAATGGCTTCTTGGCCGTCTCATGTTCCACCCGTGTCTCCGGTGGGCGGAACTTAGGAAACCATCTGGCAAGAGTTACTTGAGAAATCTCTTTTCCTGCCTCTGCCACACCCCGGAGAGCCCAGAAAAGCAGGGAGAGATCTGAACGCCATAGACCGAGTCTCGCAAAAGCGAGACCCAGGAGAGTGTCCCCGGCCGGGATATGGCTCTTCTCGGATTTTCGAACTAGTTTTGTTACCGACGTGCTAGGTCTTCTCCCAGGCAGTCCCGCGGAGTGATTCGGAGCAGAGGCTCAGGGTCCTCACTGAAAAGCAGGAAATGGTAACTACCTCAGAAGATTTTGTAAAAGTTAAATGGGTTGTTGTAAAGGACTAAAAAGGTGCCTGCAATGTAGTAAGCATTCAAGAAATGATAGCTAGTGTCGCTGTCACGATCTGATTTTAGCTTTGCCATCTGCAAACTTATAAGAAGAGGGTTAAGTCATCTTTGCTGATTTCTCGCCGGCCAGAGGAAAGGGGAACTGATCGTTGGCTTCAGTCTGAGCCTGGCGCTGGGCTGAATTTTGGAGATGCAGAGAAAAATAAAGAATATCCCTGCCTCCAAGAGCTCACGGTTTGATAAGAAGAAGGAGGAAAACCACTGATTCCAGGTAAAACGTGCAAATGATAGACTAGATACAAGGAAAGTTCTAGGAGAGTACTGAGATGGGTTTGGCAGCAGAGTGGAAAGATCGATACGGACTCCACTTTAAATCCAAAATTATGCCCTGGGACCGTGGGCCGATCACTTAGTCATCCCTGCCCGTTTCCCAGTCTGGGAAAGCGGAGCTGGCAGAACCGGCCTCACAAAGCCGCTGTGAAATCACAGCTCCTTCTGGAGGACCTGGCACAGAGATGCGTTCCCAAGTGATCCTTATTATGATTCCAGGGCTCCAGACAAACGCCCAGGACCCGAACCAAGATCTGCAAACGCAAGGAGGAAAGGGTGGCTGGTGAGCGGCCCCGCCCTCCCGCATCGGTTAATTACCGCGGCTGAAGTTAAAAGAACCTGGGAGGCCCCCACCCCGGGAGTCGCGCTGGGCCTCGGCGTCCCTGTCGCCCGTGGCAACCGGCCGTCCTGGCTTCAGGCCCGAGAGGCTCCGCGCAAAGCAACAAGATGGCCCTGAGCTCCTGGTCCCCAGAGCTGGGGTTCAGCGAGAAGACGCTGCGGGCGGCGGCCGTCTCCACCGGCCCGTCCCTGGAGTTATGCACCTTCCCCTCCACCCTGGGCTCCTCGGTCGCGACCGCGGCGCTGGAGCAGCTCTTTGTTGTGGGTGAGAAGCTGGCGGGCACCTCGGAGGTGGCCCCTAGCCGGTACCTGGGGGGGGGGGGGGGTCCTCTGCGGGGACCTCTCCGCGGGAACTCGGGGTGTCCCAGGCTAAGGCAGAGCCCTCTCAGACTCCTTGGGGGAGAGAGAGAGGCAGCGCGGTGGGACCCAGGGCTCAGCTCTCTTGCTCTAATGCCACTGGAACGACGTGGCCCAATTCACACTAGCAACTGGTGACAAACTCCAGGCAAAGCCTGGTCTCGGCGGCCACTGCCATTTGCCTGCGACTGGGATGCCCACCTGTATTTAGATTATACATCTTAATTTCCGCTTCTCCCTTCTTTTCTTTGTAAGTTAACTTCCTCCAAAAGTTTGTCATGATAAAGTGGAGAGTTTAATAGGCAAACAAGAAAGGGAGTGTTTAAGAAGCTCCTATTGTATTAGACAAGGAAAATTAAACAAGGATGTTTGGGAGATGCAAACATAGTAACCTTGCCTGGGGACGGGTTAAAATTCTTCTTTAGTTAGAAAGCCGAACCTGTAATCAAGGCACCTAAGTTTAAGGTAAGACAGGGTCCAAGAAAGGGCATTTCTTGTTGAGCTCATAAACCATTTCGGCCCAACAACAAGAGCTAGGTCTTGAACTCTTCTTCGTACTTGATCAGCATGTGCATTTCATCCCAGTACTTCTGTGCAAATATTTTTCTGCTAATAATTTCTGAACTCTCAAAGTTTTTTGTAGGAAGAAACTTCATTAAGCCTCTGGTGGGAATGAGAGGATATGCAGCTCTCCAGCCCATTTGCAAGTGGGAACTTGTGCTCATTCATTCCATTAGAAGTAGGGGAAGGTGAAAACAGGCGAGGCCTGTCTCTTCCTAACACCTGCTTGCTTGCAAACTCAGTAACCGACTTTCACCTGGTTTGAGAGCTTAGTTCATTAAGAGGATCTGAGTTTCCTGGAACTGAGGGCAGAAATTGTTCTTTAGGGGCACCTGGGTGGCTCAGGTCATGATCTCAGGGTCCTGGGATCGAGCTCCACATCAGGCTCTCTGCTTGGCGGGGAGCCTGCTTCTTCCTCTATCTGCCTGCCTCTCTGCCTACTTGAGATCCCTCTTTCTCTGTCAAATAAATAAATAAAATCTTAAAAAAAATTTTTTTTTCTTTACTCTTCTGAGGGGAGAGTATGGCCATTAAGGCTAAAGGCTTTGGAGTCAGACTTGTGTTTGCATCTAGACTCTCAGTGATGGGCTCTGTGACCTTGAACATATGATACACTCTCAAAAGTCAGATTTCTCCACTGTGAAATGGAAGTCATCATAAGATTATAGTAATCAACTTAGATAATGAATGTAAAGCATTAATCTCATCAAACTTATCCCACACATGAAGATGCAGGCCTGGAATTCATTTGGACAAAATCTGGGTAACTTCCTGGCACCAGAGCCAAGGTAAGTATAGCTCCCTCTGTTCTCTGCCTTATATTCATTTTTCCCCTTCCTCCTTTCCATTTGGTACATATCTGGTCTTCATTACCATTACTAACATTTCATAAACCTCTCTTCTTATGTGCTTCCTACCTACAGTGTGTGAGAGAAGAGAGACACCTTTCGTATGTCTGTCTACCTCACGCCTACCAGTTTTACAAATCTTTACTCTCATCTCAGGATTTAAATATTGGCACAGAAGTAAAAATGACATAAGGGACTTTGAAACCGTTAATTAAATGAGTGGATTTTTTGCAAAATATTATATTTATATGTGTACAAGTGTATATACTATGAAAACATTCTCAAACCTACACTATAGGCCTATTATATTTATTCCTTTCATAAAAATTTATTGAATTTTTTTTGTCCTGTTCTATATAAATTCCTTCTTTCTCTCATGAGAGAGGCAAAGATGGAATATCAAGAGGAGTTTGTCCTCAAGAAGCAATAAATATATACCTAAGTGAGAATACTATCAATTAGGAAATACGTTCAGAAGAGATTCATATAAGTACTATAGGAATTCAGGTATCATTTTCAGCTGTGCAGGCATTTGAGCTAGATCTAAAGGGTTAAATAGGATTTGGACCAAAAAGTAAGAGCTTCATTTTCTAATTTTTTTTTTTTTTTTTAGAACAATCACTGCAAAGTGACTATTTTAAATGCAACGAAGAAGCTAGGACCTTTCTTAAGGACATTGCTATCGCCGTTAAGAAATTGGTATGGTATTACCTATGAGAACTATTTTTTTTTCAATCTTTCACTTATTTCTTCATCAACTTAATCTAGCACCAAGTCTATTCAAGATACTTGAATAGATGAATAGGGAAAATATTTATTCCAAGTGAAGAAAATGTTTATCTCAATTCACAAGCATTTGCACGGGTGTTGATCAGCTGGGGAGTGCTGCCTGATGTTCCACAAAGAACCCCAAGTTAAGGACCTGTGCTGTGGATTGGGCGGGGGGTGGGGTTTGCATTGCAGCCTGGTTAGGAGAGCAATACTGGTGATGGCGTTGCTCCATGAAGGGGTGAGCCACATGGGCAAATGCTTGACCCCAATATAGAAGCCATGTGTGGTCCCTATTCACTCAGTTCTCCATAAGCAATTTCTTACGTAACTGCTGAGAGATGACTTGGTACCTGTTCCACTGAGGTACAGTACTGGTCAGTGAAAACAAACCAACTCTTTGTTATGCTCACTGGGCCCCATCAAAGAAATAGTTAAAGAATTTCCTTTTGAAGCGTCAGGTGTGTCTACATGGTTCTGGGTGATATTTACAATGCTTCCCCAGCCGGGTCAGGAGGGTGACATCTCTTCATCTGATTTAAAAATATTGAAGAATCAACTGCATATCAAGTATCTAAAAATGTAGATACGTGCCTCTAAAGGAGTTTGAGTCTGCAGACTGCTGAGAAAAGTGCATCTCCTTGATATTTTTCTGTGATTATATGTACATGAGTATGCAGACTACAGCGTTATGCTCTATAGTCCCGGTTTATTGAATACATGTAAACCCTGGGAGATGGTGTGTGTGATGCCACTGTGGCCCTGTGGAAACTTTCCTCTGCTTTGTTCTTTGAGTTTTATTTTCCTCCTGGGTTTGAAGGGGTCAAGATATTTAGTGTGGCTTATTGAAGTATCTAGTATGTCTCCATGTAATATATGAGCTGTGAAATCTCTTTGCTTTATAAGATGGAGGGATTTATCGCTATTAATTTTTACCATTCTGAAAGCACAGCGTATTTACCCTGGTGGGGGGGGGGTTTAAATAGACAAGTAAAAGGTGGAAAGTAAAAACCACCATGCTCTCAGCACCCTAAAATAATCATAATTAACTCTTTAATGAATGTCTTTTCTACTTCCAGGAAATAGGCAATGCCTGTATTGAAATATTTTTAATAGAAAAGTGATCATGTTATATATACAATGAAGTAATCTGCTTTTTATGACTCGTAAAATATAATGACATTTTCGCAGGTCAAAAAAGAACTATAGGCATCACAACCAATTATTTAAGAGATGATTTACCTATTTTTTTTAAAGATTTATTTATTTATTTGACAGACCGAGATCACAAGTAGGTAGAGAGGCAGGCGGGGGGCGGAGGGGGAATAGCGGGGAAGAAGGCTCCCTGCTGAGCAGAGAGCCCAAAGCGGGGGCTTGATCCCAGGACCCTAGAATCATGACCCGAGCTAAAGGCAGAGGCTTTAACCCACTGAGCCACCCAGGCGCCCCATGTACCTATTTTTTTTCCATGAACAGATTTTTGGATGGTTTTCCTTTTTTAAAATAAGCCTCACCAAAAAAAACAAAGCATAAAAATCCCCACCAGACTATTTGTTTGGATTTATGGTTATGTATTAAAAAATATTGTTCTTTTTATACCTAAACATATTTTTATAGGTATTTTCCATCTTTTAATTAATCAGCTTTTTTCCTCAGCATTACCCCTTTTTTTTGGAGTCTCTCCTTTTAAGTTGAAATTGCATACAAGAAACAGAAGAAAAGATAATTTCTGAGAGGAAAATCAGCAGAGATTAGAAGATGTCTTATCTTAAAAACTGATTATAGAAGAGTGATTTTTCACACTTTCTATTCCAAATAAAAATACGAGCAGAAGGTGTTGAACAGAAATCAAAGCTTGATCTCTAAAAATATTTATAATAGGGCATTGCTTAGGAAATCAATTTTATTAGTTTAATGCCTTAACTTTTTAAATATGTAATTCAAATTTTCAGGAAGAAATGAGAAAAGCCACAATCGATCTCCTGGAAATTGAAAGCATGGAACTCAGCAGACTATACTTTTTACTGGAAACTCTTCCTACTAGCATTGGCCGAGAATTGGAAGGTACTTTTAAGGTTATCAACCATAGAAATTTAGTTTATCTTACAAGAAAATAGAGCCTACTACTTGTAGGAAGACACATTTAGTAGTTAGGTCATGTCAAAATATAGCTAGAAAGAGTGCACAACACAAACAGAGATCCACGATAATTTCCCCTTACATTTTAAGTGGAAAGTGGAAATTATATATATAAAACTTGAATTTATGTAATTTAGTATCTAGATAGACTAACAATGTATAGATCAGCCCATTCCAAATTGGTATTTATTCAATTAAATTAGGCAGCTTGACTCACCTAAACCATTATTCTACTTTCTCTCTATAAGTTTCAGAACTATAGGTGCCTCATATAAATGAGGTATCATGTGATACTTACCCTTTTGTGACTGGCTAATTTCACTTGGCAGGTCTTCAAGATTCCTCCACGTTATAGCATTTGTCAGAATTTTCCTTCATTTTAAGGCTGAACAATATCCCATTGTATGTGTATATGGTTTTTGGTGTATCTCTTCATCCACTGACAGACCCTTGGGTTGTTTCCACCTTTCAACTATTGTGAACAAAGCTGTTATAAACATGGTGATGCAAATACATGTTTGAGTCCCAGCTTCCCATCCTTTTGGGCATATATACAGAAGGAAATTGCTGGATCGTACGGTCATATGGGTTTTTTACTTTAAGTGTTGAGAAACTGCCATGCTGTTTTCCCTGGTGGCTGCAGTAATTTACATTCCCACCGTGATGCCCAAGGATCCCAATTTCTTCACATTCTTGTCAACCTTTGTTCTTTTCTGTTCCTTTTGTTCTTTTAGATACAGCCATCCCAATGGGTGTGAATCGGTGTCATGGTTTTGATTTGTATTTCCCTAACGACTAGTGATATTGAGCATTTTTTCATGTGCTTATTTGGTAATCGGCTTATCTTCTTTGGAGAAATACCTGTTCAGGTCCTTTGTTCATCTTTTAAGTAGGTTGTTTGGTTGTTTTTATTAAGTTGTGGGAATTCTTCCTCATGGACTCTAATGTTAACCCTCTATCAGATGATTTGCAAATATTTTGACCCATTCCATGGTTTGCCTTTTCACCTGATATTGACTATCAATGCACAAAAGTTTCAAATTTCTAAAAAGATGTTGTTTATTCATTTGAGAGGGAGAGAGAGAAACAGACCTCCCTGCTGAGCAGAGAGCCCGAAGTGAGGCTCAATCCCAGGACCCCGAGAACATGACCTGAGCAGACACTTAACCGACTGAGCCACTCATGCACCCCCAAAAGTTTTAAATTTTGATGTAGTCCATTTTATCTATATTTTCTTTTATTGCCTGTGCTTTTGGTGTCCTATCCAAGAAATCATTGCTAAATCCAGTGTCTTTAAGATTTCCTCCTATGTTTTCTTCTAAGAGTTTTATAGTTTTAGCTCTGGCATTTAGGTTTTTGATTTGTTTCTGATTACATTTGGTATTTGGTGTAGGGTAAGAGTTCAGTTTCATTTCCCCTGCTGTCAGGAGTGTTGGCTGAGGCTCACAGCTCAGGTCCTCTACAGGAAAGCCTACAAAAGCTTGACACTGCCCTTGGTTCCTTGTCTCCTCAGGTGCATCCCACGTTCAGGGAGCAGTCACGGTGAAGAATAGAAAGGGCTGCCTCCCTTGCTCAATGGAGAACAACTCCCAAGTGTCCTCACTTGGTGAAGGACACTTACTGAAGGTTACTGCCATTTAACCTCCCCCTCCCCCACCCAGGGGTCTAAATTAAAAACAAACAAAAGCAACAACAGCAAATCACTTTTTAAGTCAATGTTCCACTTGTCCATTTATTGCCTTGCAGCTCCAAATCTACCTTCCTTGCCTGTTAGGAGAGCTGGGCCCATCATTACCCCCTTTACCAGCCAGCACCATGTCGAGCTTTGTCAAGAGAGGGCACTGGAAGGGTACTAGAGGGAAAAGGGGGTCTCCTTCTGGCCCCAGGGTGCTCAGCTTGGCCAGTGCTTGCGGTGCACACAGCTGTTGCTTGTCAGGCTCCCATAGAGCCTGGCAGCTTTCCTCCACCCCCTACCCCCCACCAAGGCAGGTTCCTCCATTCCCCATCCCAGGGCAACTTCCTCCAGGACTTCCTACCTCCCCCCACACCTTAACCAACAACTTCCTCCAGGCCCCCTGGGGCAGCTTCATGGTGGATTGCTACCAGTGAGGCACCACTGTGAGCAGCTTTCCTAGCACTCTTCAGATGGCCTTGCAGTGAGACCTGAAGTGTGGCAACTCCCTGTGGACAGGACCCCTTGATTCTTCCAGAAGGCAGATTTCCATAAGTTCTGCTAGCTCAGCATCTCCTGAATTTATTTGCCATCCTGTGAGGCACAGCCCTCTCCAATGAGGCCTGGATTTCAGGGCTGGAGGGGCTGTTTCCTCAAACTCTTCTCAGCCTTGAATCCCTTAGAGTTCTCTTTTCTCTCTTACTATCCAATCCCTCATTACTCTATTCGTCTCAGGCTTACTAATTCTCTATGTTAAAATTTCCCTGTTCAATTTATAAGATTTCTATCTCCCAATTAGACATGGAATGATAGTTATAAAACAAGATGCATGGTGTTAGTGTGGTGTGCCAGGGAAAATAAAATAAACTCTATATACAGGAAAAAAAAAAGACTTAGAAGAATCTGTGCTGAAGGCAGAATTAAGACTCTTTGGCTTAATTTTCTCATCAGGAAAAATATTTAGAAGGAAAAGCGCATACTAGCATACTAGCTAAAGCGGTTCTTGATACCTACTGAATACCTAACCACATAAATTTAACTGGTCTTGCGTTAAAAAACTTTGCTACTCAAATTGTGATTCTTGAATCAGCAGCATTAGCAGCATCTAAAGGCTTTTTATAAAATGCAGAATCTCTAGATTCTACTATATCAGAATTTGTATTTTGTATTTTGGGGGCGCCTGGGTGGCTCGGTCGGTTAAGCATCTAACTCTTGGTTTCAGCTCAGGTCATGATCTCGGGGTCCTGGGTTCGAGCCCCATGTGGGGCTCCATGTGGAGTCTGCTGCTCCCTCCCCCTCCGCTCCTCCCCTCGCTCATGCACACTCATGTACTCTCTCTCTAAAATAGATAAATAAATTCTTGCAAAGGATCTGTATTTCAATAACATCCCCAGGTGATATATATGCATATTTGAGACATCAAAGTTTGGGAAGTGCAGCTACAACAAACGAACTTAACAAGTAGCCTTGGAGAAATCACTTAGCTCTGTCAGGTGGCACTACCAGCTCGTTTCTAGAGAATTTTTGGTGTAGAAATGGGTAGTCAGTACCTTTTAAACATCAGTATGAAAAAATACTTTCTCCATCTATCGCGCACTGAGGTAGACCTCTGCAGGCTTACGTGATTACACTGATGTGTTATTTGTTGAGAAATAGTTAGTTCTTTAACACGCCGAGTTCCCCAGAAAACAGAGCAGGGGCTTTTGCACTATTATTTGGGAGCACAACCCAAGGGGGATGTGGGCAGCATAAGGAGACCAAAGCAGGAGGAGGGAGCGCAGATATGGGGTGTAACAGGGTGCTGACTGCTGCTGAAAACAAGTCCCTAAGCACGGGAACACGCTCCAAGACACACTGTTCCATCTTCTCCTGTCCCTCATGGGTCCACTGTTTGCCCCCCTCCCACACTTTGGGTTACACGTACACTGGTGTGCACGTTTAAAGAAGTCCCACGGCAGAGGGGACGAGGAGGTCCTGGACAGCAGGTGAGAAGTGGGAAGAATAAGCAGGAATGACGCGCTGCCAGGCCACACCAGTGGGACGTCATTGAGAGCCCATCAAAACCTGGTCCCCACAGCAGCAGCCGAAGTAAGGGAAAGAATTGATCAGTGAGATTGAGGCTGCCCAAAGGGGTAAGAGGCCCCTGCTACAGGGACATAGTTAAAAGAGTATTTCAAAGAAAGACCTATCTTTTTTCATGATTTAGAAATTCAGTATCAAGTGTGCCATTTCTCAAATTTTCTGCTTCCTTTTAAGAATGTGTCAGAGATGCACGCAGATTAAATCTTTTTGAGATAAATCAAATAAAGACGGACATTAAAAGGATGGGTGATGACATACAGTTTCTGAAGATGAGAATACTTGATCTGAAAAGAATTAATGATGCTTTAGGGTATGTATTTTTTTTTTTTTTTTAATTCAGTACTGGCGGGAGTTGGGATCTGTGGCTGGAGTCTGAAAATTGTCTTAAGGGGCCTGTCCTCTGGTCTGAGCTGGTGCGGGCCAAGTAGGAGGTAGATATCACCTGGAGCAGATGACCTTGGCTGGTGAGGGGGGTGTGATGGCCACACAGAGCTGGGAGGAGAGCAAAAAATCTTCAATCCCTGTAGTCCGAAGACCTGTAAAGTTTCAGAGGCCAACTAGCTTCTCAGCAGCTCCTACTGTGTGTGAATCACATGCCCCCTCCAAAGGGAAAGGCACACAGTGGTTTCGGTTTCCACTTCATTAAAGTTAAGTTTACAAACCTCAGCCACTAAAGCAAGAGATCTGGCTGGGTGTCATATTGTAAATACAGTATCAAACCAGATTCAATGTAGCTAGTTTAGTTTCTTAAAGATATTTAGCAGTAAACTGCTGGAGATCTGAGGATCGGTTTGGTTCCCAGCAGAGAATTAATTACAGACTTTATCTGTAATTGAATGAGATGATATATATAACCGCCTGTAGCTCAGATTCTGACTCCTCTTAGTTTCTTTCCTTTATTCCTGAGCTGTGTCACCAGGACTTTACCCCATGGGCCTCCTTTCCTCCACCTGTAAAATGAGGATTGCAAGTTTGAATTTATGCAGCTCACAGAGGAAGAGACATATTCTGAAAGGAAAACCCACAAAACCTTAAGAAGAACTTGCATTGTGTGCAATTCTGTAAGGCTGACGCATAGATACCAGAATGTCAGTTTGTCAGAGGAAGAAATGTTGAAGGAGCCCACATGAAAGAAAGAAATCTTGGGAAGCTGAAGTGATCAGGAGGTTGCTGCGTGCCCGTGCTTTCAACGTGTCAGGAATTAGGTGGAGATCTTGAGGCCCAGGGATGCCTTTCCCCAGTTAGGGCCTCAGAACACCTGTTCTGGGGGATGCTCCTTAAAAAAGAAAGTTCGTGATCACCTAAGCTTGAGAACTCTAACCCCTCGTAGGGATTCACTAGCCACAATCGCCAGAGACAGCTAGGTGAACTAGCTTTTGATTCCTAAACTGATAAAAGGAAAATAATATCCAGGCTGGCCAGCACCAGCACCCCTGTACAGACCAGCGATTCTCAAACTTGGGGATGCATCAGAATCACTTGGAATGCTTCTTAAAACCCAAACTACTAGAACTTTCCCTGGCACCCCAAATTTCCAATTGAGTAGGTGTAGGAGGTGGGAGTAAGAATGTGCATTTCTCACGAGTTGCCAGGTGATACTAATGCTGCTGGTCCTGACCACACTTGGGAGAGTCCCTGTTCTAGAGAAATCTTTATGGAAAGGTGAATGCCAGGCATAAGGTGGGTTGCTTGATGAGCTACTGTCACCCAGCTACAATGTCATTGCATCCATTTTTCAAAGAAAACTTTCCACCAAGATGCCAACACTCTCTGACAGGTGGTCCTCTCCTGGACAGTCCCCACGAAAAGGCAAGTTCTTTGCATAGGTTTTCCTTAGGTCCTGTGTTCAGTGTCTGAGTTCTCTCTTCTCAACCCATCTCAATACACCTAGTCAGGTTTTTTTGTTTTGTGGGTTTTTTTTTTTTTAACTTGTTTTGCTTAGTGGCACTGAAGCTGCTCAATCCTTAGGTTGACTCATTCTTAGAAGGCTTCTTCTACTAGACCCACAAGGCACCCATTACCCAGCCTCTCTAGCCTGGGCTTTTAACTGCATTTCCGTGGTAGAGCTGACTTCTAGAAAATAAACTTAACCAACAACCTGTTTCCATTTTCCTGAGGCTTTGCACACAATCCCCCTGAACAACTGAAGTCTTTAGAGAAAGGGAAAAGGTCTTAATGTTGTAGAAGCTTTTAAAAATGGAAAAATCTAGAAATGGTGCCAGTTGTCTGTCCTTCCCATCTTGCACTGTTAGCCCTGGGTAGATGTTTCTCTTCCTCAGATGGATGTGGCTAGCAACAGAGAGGTGAAGTTAATGTCTTGTCTTGAACTCAGATTTGGCTGTAGCTGGGAGAGGATAAGAGAGTTCAGGTTAGGTTTCAAGTATCTTCTGAACAGTGAAGACAGATTCTACACACTCCTCCCTTGACTCCTGTCCACCAGAGGAGGGCTAGCCCTCTCCTGGGCCCTCCCTGCAGGGCACTGGCAGGAATGGATCGATTGCGTGTTTCAGGATAAGGTGGTTAGAGCAATGCAACCTATCAATCCATTTGTTTGGTCACATTCCATTCACCTGCTTGAAACTGTTTTTGAATCCTTGCATACTTTAGACCAATACATCCCATAGTTACTACCAGGAATGGGCTGGGTGGGTGAGGCAGGACCACATAAAACTTTTGCAGCAGTGAACGGTTGCAAGAATGACATTTGTCTTGTGTTTCCTTCTCAACCAAGTTTAAGAGATCACAAAACCCTCTGAAGTAAGTATTTCTTACAATTTCCCTCTTTATGGTGTTCATCGCCGCAAACAGACTTTAAATTCCTTTCCTAAAAACCATACTTTACATTCCATGAGCCATCCTTCTCTCCTAGTAAAGAGCAAGTGTTGCTGGCGAAGAAGCATGAAGAGTTAGTGTTGACGCTCAACCACACGATGGAAGAAAAAGCCTCTACGACTGTTTACATCAATGAGACCTACACCCAAATACACTTGAAGAGAAAAGAAATTGAATTGCAAAAACAACATCTCAAACAAATAGAGGAACAATTGGAAAAAGAGAAGGAGGAATTTTTGAAAAGAAAACAAAAATTGAATGAAGAGGTAAGTGGCATGATTCATTTAAAAAAACAAACAAACAATTGTATAGAATCTCGGGCAGGAAATTCTCAAGGCTAACAAGTGTTCCATGCAGTACTTCCTATGAACAGTGGGATGGGAATAGGTCAGAGACACAAGCATGCTGGAGCCCCTTAGGGTACACACTGGTCGTGTCCTAGCATCTCCGGTCATGGGAAAGAATATGAGTGATGGGATTTGTAACACTGGGGTGGCCCCTTGCTCATAGGCAGCCTTATAGTGACAAGGACCTTGTGTTCATGGTATCTCGTTGCCTCTGACCATTCTGAGGCCATGTCTTCTATGGACAAGACCAGGGAGTTCTGCCCTGCCAAGCTTTCAGCTCTGACTAAATGCACTGGAACAGAGCAATCTGCAGAAGGCATAGGCAGAGCCAAGAGCTGCAACAGGAAAGACTATTTTGAGACTAGCAGTTTGGGGAAAGTGGATGGGAATGACTACCACATCTTGGTGTCTGCTAGGCTATGTTAATTAAAATTCACCATCAGAGTGGCTTGTGATGGTTCCTCTTTGCTGTGCTTCTGTTACCCCAGGAGAGGCAGGGCTGTCTGCATGGGAGGTGTTCCCAGCAGACTTCCTTCTTCCCCATGTGTGGCAGCCTAGCTCATGATGAGAACTGCAGCTGGGTCCCTGCTGCTGTCCTCTCTGAGATGGTCATGGGCATGACTGTCATGCAGGAAAATTGGCTAGGGCTCACAACCTGGGTAGCGCCCACCGATGTTCCCTGAAGGCACGTGATAGGCTGGGGTAACAGCCTGTTAATTTCCTTTACTTCCTATGAGAAAGGAAATCTCTATTACAGCTATCTGAGTCTTCAAATTTGTAAGCTCTCCCCTAATACAAAACAATTTGCCAATACGATGTCTATGACCGCAAGACCTTGGGAGAAGTCTTTGGCTGAAGAATGAACACAGAATTCTGATTTTCAACAAAATGTGTTAATCCCCAAATTCCATTCCTATGCAACAGTGCCCTGGTGCTGAGCTAATTGGCCATGATCATGTTCATTCTTAAGACACTTTGGGTGCAACGGCTTTGATAGCAAGCCACCCAAATGTATGCTTTCATAACTCTTGGGTAGAAAGTTGAATATGCTTTCTCAGCCTTTATTACTCGTTTAGTTACCTTGTTCTTGATCATTTTACCAGACAAATGCATTGATATGTTTGATTTGGGTCTGACAACTAATCACAATATGTTTGATCTTGGTAGAATGGTAAGAAGTTGTCCAAGACTGTGAGCTGCCCAGTCTTCAGTGATTTTTACTCTGTTTTTAGTCTGCTTTTCTTTCCCATTAAAAAAAGGAGGGAGGATTTAGATTTCCAGATCATTCATCATTTTTTTCTTTGATTTTCCTGATCTTATTAGCACACTGTAAATCTGGTGGCCATTGCTATGATGTTTTACTAGTAGATTGCTATTAAAAGCACTTTGCTTTTAGAATTTGCTATTAATGATCATTGTTTTATTGCTCTTATGAATTTACTGTTTCAACATTTATAATTATAGTTTATTCCTTATAGTTCACTATTTTTCCTGTGATGTTGCAAAACAAGCAAACCCTTTTGGGGGAGACGGGGTGTGTTTCTGTTGTTGTTGACTGACGAACAATGGTATACTTAGACTGAGTCTGAATTAGATAAACAAAATGAAAACATTCCCTAAACTTTGTTCTCAAGTGTTTTGATTGGTTTATCATGTTTATCGCTACAGATTGAGAGATACAGAAAATTCTGTGAATTTAAGAGAGTGGAGACTTATAAAAAGAAGAAAGAATTGGATACATTAAAACTTCAAGAGTCAAAAATGAAAGAAAGAGTTACAACCAGCACAGTGGTAAGAAATAACAAGCAATGTTTTTTTCAAGCTTGTCCAGGGCACCTAGATGGACACTGTGTTAAATATAACCAATAGCAGGTACTTTTTTTAAGGGAGTTAATTTTAACTCATCTTTACGCCATTCCAAGAGGATGTTTTTGACATGTTAACATTTTCTGACATTTTATTTAAAATGTTGTAATGCAACTGTGCTTTCTTCTTCAGGGATATGGTCCGAGGAAGGAAGTTTGGAATGCCTTAGGTTCAAATTGCATTTGACGGACCAAAATATTTTAAAAATGAATTTTCAAAAAGATTTTATTTATTTGAGAGAGAAGAGAGAGGACAACTGGGGTGAGGGGCAAAGACAGAGGCAGAAGCAGACTCCCCGCTGAGCAGGAAGCCTGATGTGGGACTCGATCCCAGGACCCTGGGATCATGAACTGAGCTGAAGGCAGACACTTAACTGACTGAGCCACCCAGGCGTCCTAAAAATGAATTTTTTAAAATGCACTCAGAACTGACCAAATACATACAGAACCATATGTCACATCTCTGTGAAATTGCTTTATTGTACATCCCCAAATGAATAACCACAGGCAAATTCCTCACTTCTGCATGCATGATAATAAAACCGTTTAGTCTCTTCATTTACATTGGCCACAGAAGCATTGATATGAAAAGGGGACTATTTGTCTGAATTAGAACATTCTTCCGTGTTCTGCTCTTCTATTTTTTCAAATTGATAGCATTCGTTGAAATCCAGTACTCCTAAATATTTCATGACCGTTATCCTTATTTTAAAGAAAATGGAAGCTTATGAAGGTGATTTAATGGGAGAGGTAAATGATCATATCCCTTCTGTGTTAATTAAAACAGAAACGCCTACCAATCCTCTATCACAATGAGTTGAATTAATGAGTCTTTGGCGTATTCTGTCTGTACTGAGAGCTACTGGTAAAACTATATGGGGCAGCAGCCATCACATTTCTTACCAGAAACATCACACTTCTTATCAGACACACTTCTTATCAGAATACTCAGTTAATTCCATTATACTTTTTATAGGGTGGTTCTGATTGTCTTAGTTACAGTGTGTCTATCATGATATCCAATTTATAGAACATAAGTAGAATAAAAATTTCTCCCCAATATCTGCCTTTGAAAAATTTTTATCTGTTTTTTAATAGTAGATAGAGAAGCATGAGCGAGGCGAGGCTCGAAGAACGCAGGGGTTACACTAGATAGACTTCATCTGCAGGCCCAAGCTCCTGTCTCTGGTTTGGGCCTCATAAATCTTAAGGAACTCTACCTACCCTGCTTGGGAAGACACAGTATATATTCCTTAACCTGTACTCCAAAGATCTCTAGGATCATTCTGTAAGGCTGGAAGGTGACAAGGATAAACTCACCTCCAGTGTCCTCTCCACCTCCCACAAGCTAACCTGCCCACCCCGACCGACCTTACCAGTGGAGAACAGCATTTCAAGCACAAACTTGACTATCACAGAGACCTGGGGTTCAAATCTGTAACTCTACCAACCTGAAGTTTCCTCACATGTAAAATGGGGTAATAACATTGTCTACTTCAAAGGGCTGGAGCTCAAACGAGGTTTGAGTGTTTTATATTTGGTCAGGGTGCGTGTTAGGGTTGTTACCCACTGAGGTTAGAAAACCCATTTTGGCTCTGGATTGAGACAGCAAGGAATCTCAGGTTAACCTTCATGGGCTGCCCGTGGTTTTGACAACTGTGTAGCTCAGTCACGCTGAGGTGATGTTGCCAGAAAAGGCCAATCGTGTGTGATTCTCAAGGTGGCTCCCATGTCCAGGGCAGGGAGGACTGAGGGCGAGGTGGGCCCGATGTGGGGCTTCACGGGCCCTCAGCATACAGCCCCTAATCCTTTAGACATTGTGCTCATGTTGAGGGCGGTTCTAGGATGACAGACCCTTGTCGACTCTGAAACTAGTTATGACCCAGTAGTGGAGGCATATGGATACGTTAGAGGAAGAAACAGCTGGTGGGGAGCTTTCGGCCACCTGTCTCACCTGGTAAGAATGGGAGCCCCTCTGTGCTCCCCACAGGTGTTTCTCTGAGTCCACACTGATGGTCAGGGTTAGATGGCATTACCCAATCCGCCTGTGGACACTCCACACTGGGGAGCAGGGGAACTTGTCTGATCAGCTCTCTCTCCCCTCCATTCTCCTCCACAGCTGAAATGCAGACCAAGGCTCTACAGATGTTTGCCTCCCCTTTTTCATTTTCCCTTTTTTTTTTTTTTTTTGGAGTAGGCTCCACACTGGCCGTGGAGGCCAACACAGGGCTTGAACTCCCCACCCTGAGATCAATGCTTGAGCTGAGATCAAGAGTTAGATGCTTAACTGACTGAGCTACCCATGTGCCCTTGCATTCTCTTTTCTTTATTCCAAAACTGCATTGTAAAAATATGTTTCATTATGAATTTTCTCTGTTCATACTTCATCCTTTTAAATCATGCTGACATTTTATCACAGTACCCAACTGTAGCATTTCTGAAATACTGATTAAATATTAGGAAAAATTCTCTTCAATATAAGCATATTTCTCAAAGTAATTTGTTTTTATTTTTTTGTAATCCTCATTCTAATATCGTAGAATATTTTGACGATGATTATGAAAATGGAGATTTGTTTGGATTTTTTTTAAAAGGTAGTCAAAATGAATTCATTATTTTGAAAGTTGTTTTTATAATTTTCACATTCTCACTGCTATATTTGGTTGGGCTCTCTCCAAAATGTTGTTTTTTTTCCTGATGATTTCAGGATTATTTCTGCCCAGGTTTGTTTTATGAAGAAACTATTTTAATAATTGTTTTTTATTTGAGCTGAAGGATACCCCCAGTGTAAAAGTTGAATGGGTGTTACATGAGTATTTAGTGAATCAAACACTGTCATGAATCATTTGGTAAAAATTGAGTGCCATCATTTTATTGAATTTTCAATAGGTTCTTAGTGATCACAATTTAGAGATAGCACGACTACAAGAATCAGTAAGACATTGGGAACAAGAGCTCGAGGAAATGAAGAAATCCTGTAAGATACTGGAGGATAAAATGTAAGTTTGATACTCTGTTTTTTAGCGAAGCATTTCTTTCTTTCTTTTTTTTAAATTCTTTTGTATTAGATGAAAACTATATTCTCTTAATTTACTGAAATTTTTGATAGCTTTGTAAAACCACCTCTTCATGTGGAAATTAACCAGTCTTTCAGATGAACAAGAGAAAAAAAAAGGGGGATGAGGCAGTCATTAGGGAAAAGGCAGGGACTCTTTGGAATGAATTATTCTCACTTCAGTTCCTAACTCCCTACAAACAAATATGCTCCCAGGGGAAGGCATTGGCGGGACCTCCTGTAAGACTCACCTACCCTGGCTATGACAGTTGTTCTTAGTTGAGGGGGAACTCACTGAGCTTACTGAGAAAATACAAGGAAGTTTCAGGGCAAAAACTTTGACCCATGGGACTGGGACCATGAACTTGAGGAAATCTGTTCACCCCAATGTGCGTAGTCTCTGCTTCCATGTTTTATTCTGTCTTTACCTACATGCAGTGTCCTGTCATTGGTGAGCCTGTGGCTCAGCATGGCCATTCCAAACCCTCTGAGTTTACCTGTCATAGGTCGATCTGTCTTTGGAGATGGACCTGCAGACTTCTCCCAGGAGAATGGCCAGATTTCTCCTCAGAAGGTGTTTGGCCCAGCTCTGACGAGGAAGGTGGGGTCTTACAGTATAAATGTGCCTTCCAGGCCTACCCCTGGGTTCTCCTGATGGTTTAAAAGACAGATTTTGGACTTGGGTAGATTCCCCAAAAGGCAAGTACATGGATCCCATGTGGAATCTGATTATAATATGGCTTATTCCTACTAGGATCACATGTATTGTAATTAAAATTATATCTTCTAAAATAGCAATGGCACAAAAAATGCTGTTTTACCAACATCTAGCCATAAAATAAGCAATAATCCTTATACTCAGTACCAGATTTATAAGTATAAAAGCTCAAGTAATACTACAATTAAAACTAAGAATAAAAAAAATCTCTTTCTCTGAAAGTGATTCAATCGTTTTAGTTCATACAAATTTTAAAGAAAAACTAGCAAATAATCATGGAGGAAGATACAGACTAGCTCTTATTTCTAAGAGTTATGATTGAAAACCTTGCTACACTGATGAAGTTTTATTTATAAGCAGTCTTCATGTTAGCTAATTTGTTTTAAATATATTTAAGAAAGAAATGAAGATTCGTTGATCCATTTTTTTTAAGATTTTATTTATTCGAGAGAGAGAGCATAAGCAGGGGAGCAGCAGAGGGAGAAGGAGAAGCAGACTTCCTGCTGAGCAGGGCGCCTGATGTGGCTCGATCCCAGGACTCATGACCTGATCATGTCCTGAGCCAAAGGCAGACACTCAACTGACTGAGCCACCCAGCTGCCCCTCACTGATCAATTTTTTTTTAAAGATTTTATTTATTTATTTGACAGAGAACACAAGCAGGCAGAGAGAGAGAGAGAGAGAGAGAGACAGAGAGGAGGAAGCAGGCTCCCCGCTGAGCAAAGAGCCCGATGTGGGGCTCGATCCCAGGACCCTGGGATCATGACCTGAGCCAAAAGCAGAGGCTTTAACCCACTGAGCCACCCAGGTGCCCCTCACTGATCAATTTTTAATGGCACATCATTTTTTTTTCAATTCCAGCTTTTTAAGAGTTTTCATTCATATGGAATCTCCCTGAGGAAAAATACACTTGATTAATTTGGTGACTGAAGTTTTAGGTTATTAATAAAACTATACTTTTCCCTCTTTACTACCAAGCAAATTAAAAGAAAATTCTTGCATTCATTTTGTTTTTCTCCTTTAGTTCATTTTCTCTGTCTATGGAGGTGGGAAAAGGCACATAGGGGCGCCTGGGTGGCTCAGTGGGTTAAGCCGCTGCCTTCGGCTCAGGTCATGATCCCAGGTCCTGGGTTCAAGCCCCACATCGGGCTTTCTGCTCAGCAGGGAGCCTGCTTCCTCCTCTCTCTCTGCCTGCCTCTCTGCCTACTTGTGATTTCTCTCTGTCAAATAAATAAATAAAATCTTTAAAAAAAAGGGGATTTCAGAAAACTTACATACTTAGCCCCTGTCCTCAAAGACTTCATAATCTTATTTGCAAATGGAGTATGCATCCTCTTGATAAGACAACAGAGTATGGGTTAAGAGCAAAATGTGGGGGCGCCTGGGTGGCTCAATTGTTAAGCATCTGCCTTGGGCTCAGGTCATGATCCCAGGGTCCTGGTTCAAGCCCCACATCGGGCTTTCTGCTCAGCAGGGAGCCTGCTTCCTCCTCTCTCTCTGCCTGCCTCTCTGCCTACTTGTGATTTCTCTCTGTCAAATAAATAAATAAAATCTTTAAAAAAAAAAAAAAGGCACATAAATCTTGCTTGGTAGATTCGAAGAGTCAAAACAGTATTGTTTTGTAATAGTCTATAATATTCTTTTAAGAGCAAATTATACAAGTAACTAAAATAATTTGCACAAATTCATCTTCATATTTATCTATAAGCTTTAATTTTTCCTCCATGAAATCTTTAATTTGCAAGCTTGTTACATATTTTGAGGTCCAAATATTGAAGGAAAAACAAAAGTCATTCAGCCGTCTGTATGGGGACAGTTAAGAGTAACCCAAGTTAACCACAAGTCCACAGGAGGCATCGATAGTCTAAACGTTGTTCATTATTATTGATGTCCAACATGATGTGTTGGCAGCATAAAGGCAAATCCAGTGCCTACCTTTCTAAATGGGTATGGTCTTTCTTTGCCATTCAGCTGGTTTTCAGCACTTAGGAAGTAGTGGGTTGGAAGCTAAATCTTGTCTATAAGTGACACGTCATCTGTGACCCAGAGTACATACTTGCCTTTGCAGTGCAGGAGGCTATGAAAAATAGAGACGCTCTCTTAAAAGTGTTGAAATTATTTCAGATGTCATGATTGCCAGTGACTTCCATCCTGCCAAACTGTAATGGTCTAGACTCTTCCTTAAAGTTCTGAAATTCTTAATGGAATTTGGCACACCAAAGGTTTTGGTAGAAACCTTCTTCTTTTTTTTTTTTTTTAAGATGTTATTTATTTACTTGATGTTATTTATTTATTTATTTATTTACAAGAGAGTACAGCGGGAGAGGGAGAAGCAGATTTCCTGCTGATCAGGGAGCCCAATTTGGGGCTCGATCCCAGGACCCCAGGATCATAACCTGAGCCGAAGGCAGAGGCTTAACTGACTGAGCCACCCACACCCCCCACACTTCCACCTCCTTGAAATATTTCCTTCTTGTGGCCTCCCAAACGTTATGTCACTCACTACACTGCTCCTTCTTAGGACCCTTTATTGGTTCTAATTCTTCTTTCTGGCTCTGAATTTTGGAGTTCTTGGCCCTTCTCTATTCTCACCCTCCATACATCCAGTCTTATGGCTTTATATACCCTCTGTATCCCAGTAACTCCCAAATTTATATATCCAGCACTGAGGAGCAAATGCATAGACTCTACAGCTTATTTGACCTCTCCAGTTGGAGGATATCTGTTAGATATCACAAACATAACATGTCCTAAACAGAACTCTTAATTTCCCACCTCACTGAAACAGCTCTTCCCTCAGTCTTCCATCCATTTACCTAGTTACTCCAGGGAAAACCTAGGAATCATCCACCATTCCTGTTTTCCTCACTACCTAACCCTAACCCAACTAACCAGCTAACCTAACCCAACTCAGATGCCAGCCAAATCCCAAGGTGTGTTGTTGCCTTTATCTTCAGAATATATCCTGAATCCAACTGTTTCTTACTGCCTCCACCACTACAATGTTAGTCTGAGCTACGATTCTCCCTTGTGGACCATTGCTGTAGCCTTCTGCATCGTCTGTCTTCCTGTACTGTTGTCTTTCTCCACTAAAGTAGCCAGAGTCATCTTTACAAGATGGAAATCAGTTCATGTCTCTCCTCTGCTTAAAAAAAAAATCCTCCCCCAGTTTTCTCTGAACTTGTACTTTGTCCTCAAGCCCCTACATGATCTAGTCTCTGTCTACCTCTCTAGCCTTCTCATAATCCTCTCCTCGTCAAATACGCAAAACTTGTTCCTGCCTCAGAATATTATCACTGGCTGTACCTTCTATGTGAAAAACTCTCTTCATATCTTCACCTATCTGGCCCCTTCTCATCATTCAGGTCCTTCACAAGTCATCTCAAGAGGCCCTCCCTTACCACCTGTCTGAAAGCATTCTTATTCTCAGGGTTTCTCTGTCCTTCACTCTACTTTGTATTCTTTAAAGCACTTAACACTATCTGAAATTTATTATTATTATTGCTTTGTAACTTGCTTATATTCTCAGTACTTCACTAGAGTGTAATTTCCATGAGGGTAACAACTTTGAACTATATCTCTAATACTTATAACACCTGCAGAGTACAAGTGTCTGATAATTGTTTCTTAATAAAGACAGAATGTATTACTTCATCAAAAGTAAAATTTTTTGCTTATTTTAATGAACATATAAATAAATGTGTTGTATAGGAAGATGGGGGCTGTAAGTTTCTGGTATCATAAATAATTGTGGCTTTGCTGGAAAATATGCCCTAATATGAATCTGTTTGGCTTCCTTTGATCATAGACAATTTTTTGTGAATACAAAAGAAAAACTGGAAGATTCATCTGGTTTTGAAAAAGAGGAATTCTTGCAGAAGATAAAGCAGGTAAGAAGATGGAAATTAGGACTTTTAGGTTGTAATTCTTTGCAGTGGTTTTTTTATTTTTTTTTTTAATGATATCGAGGTATGTACCCTCTATCCCTACACTTTGAAGAGTTTTGATCAGGAAAGGATGCTGTACTCTGTCAAATGATTTTTCAGCATCTATTGAGAGCATCATATGGTTCTTGTTCTTTCTTTTATTAATGTATTATATCACATTGATTGATTTGCAGATGTTGAACCAACCTTGCAGCCCTGGAATAAATCCTACTTGGTCGTGGTGAATAATCCTTTTAATGTACTGTTGGATCCTATTGGCTAGTATTTTGGTGAGAATTTTCACATCTGTGTTCATCAAGGATATTGGTCTATAATTCTCTTTTTTGATGGGATCCTTCTCTGGTTTTGGGATCAAGGTAATGCTGGCCTCATAAAATGAGTTTGAAAGTTTTCCTTCCATTTCTATTTTTTGGAACAGTTTCAGGAGAATAGGAATTAATTCTTCTTTTAATGTTTGGTAGAATTCCCCTGGGAAGCTGTCTGGCCCTGGGCTTTTGTTTCTTGGGAGATTTTTGATGACTGCTTCAATCTCCTTACTGGTTATGGGTCTTTTCAGGTTTTCTATTTCTTCCTGGTTCAGTTGTGGTAGTTTATATGTCTCTAGGAATGCATCCATTTCTTCCAGATTGTCAAATTTGCTGGCGTACAGTTCTTAATGTTCTTATAATTGTTTGTATTTCTTTGGTGTTGGTTGTAATCTCTCCTCTTTCATTCATGATTTTATTTATTTGGGTCCTTTCTCTTTTCTTTTTGATAAGTCTGGCCAGGGGTTTATCAATCTTATTAATTCTTTCAAAGAACCAGCTCCTAGTTTCATTGATTTGTTCTATTTTTTTGTTTTGTTTTGTTTCTAGTTCATTGATTTCTGCTCTGATCTTTATTATTTCTCTTCTCCTGCTGGGTTTAGGCTTTTTTTTGTTGTTCTTTCTCCAGCTCCTTTAAGTGTAGGGTTAGGTTGTGTATTTGAGACCTTTCTTGTTTCTTGAGAAAGGTTTGTATCACTATATATTTTCCTCTCAGGACTGCCTTTGATCTGTCCTACAGATTTTGAACCACTGTGTTTTCATTATCATTTGTTTCCATGGATTTTTTCAATTCTTCTTTAATTTCCTGGTTGACCCATTCATTCTTTAGAAGGATGCTCTTTAGTCTCCATGTATTTAGTCTCCATGTATTTGAGTTCTTTCCAACTTTCCTCTTGTGATTGAGTTCTGGAGAATGTTCCATGAATGTTCCAGGTAGGAAGATGGAAATTAGGACTTTTAGGTTGTAATTCATTTTTGTTTAATATTTTAAACATATTTGAAAAATATGTAATTTTCCCAAAGTAAATTTTTCATGAATTAATAATAGTCATGGTCATTGACAGTAATTGATTTAAAGATTTCTATCCCCTCCCAAAACTACTTTATCCCAAAGTATTTTAAATATATGAAAGAGCAAATGTTATCTGTGTGAAAAGGAATCATTTGGTAACTTGTCATGTGGTTGTGGTTATTTTACATTAGAAATATCCAGACCAATGGATATTTTCGTGTGAATTATTAAAAAAGAAAAAAAGGAACCTCCTTACTGTTGTGTGGTACCTGTAAAGTCTAGGAACTTATACTACACTTAATAATGTCATGAATTGTTTGAGTCAGATTTAGCCCCTGAGAGAAATCTCCGGACACTTTGAATCTTAGGTTAAAAGAAATATCCTAAGTACATAATCATGGGTGTAAACCAAATTTTATCCACAAGGTATTCAGTAGAGCATTCATTATAATAGTTGAAAAATTAGGGGGAAGATAGTTAAAGTCCAACAAAAGGATCTTGGCTAAATAAGTAACATCTCATAATATGTTTTTACATGACAAATAGAACATAAAACATTGTAGGCAGGTCTCTTCCAGAATGATTTGAGCTAATTAAATTCTTTCCACTTTTAGTTATGAGTTAATAGCATTAGGGATGGCTTTTCTCCAGGTTAGACCTACTCTGATTCTTTTAGTTGTGAAGATGCTGAAAGACAGAAACTAGACAAATTTGGTTGGTTGGTTGGTTGGTTGGTTGGTTTTTAAAGTTGTCTTTCATTCTCTGGGCAAAGGATTTCTTTTTCCTTTCTATTTATTTCCTATTGGAGGAGATACAAGGCAGGTTTCAGATAATAGCTCCATAGTTTGTAGCCCCCCCTGCTGTTTGGAAAACCTAGGATCCCTGCGCTGGCATGGCTTACTTGCTCATAGGGGCAAATGCAGAGGGGTTTCCCCTTAATCCATAGCCCTCAGCCAAACTCCATGAGTACAAGTTAATAACTGCTTCAAAGGAATCGGGGCTCCGACCCATTCATTATTTCCACTGGACTCTTGGTGGCAGACCATCTTAATTCTCATGAGGCGTAATAGGCAAGCTCAGTGATGACCTGAAATTCTATGCTAACTTTATTTTAATTTTTTTATTATAAAATATCACACAGATACAGAACAGTATATACACTGTAAATGTATAGTCTTTATGTACAGATCTATCTTTTGATCGATGTAATTTATTAGTTATAATGAAGTCCAGTTTATCAACCTACTCCTTTTTGTTTTTTAAGTCCTATGTCATGAAGAAATTCTTCTTCCATGATCTTTTAGGAGCTTTATTGTTTGACCTTTCACATTTAGGACTGACTACAAGACATCTGGAGTCCGTGTGTGTGCATGTGTACACTGTGAGAGGATGGTCAAGATTCATGTTTTTCCATAAAGTTGTCCAGTTAATTAGCACCATTTAATGAAAAGTCCGTCTTTGCCTGTTACTATATTGTAATGGCATGTTGGTCATAAATCATACATAGATCACAAATACATCATAAATATGTATGTAGATCTGTAGACTCTCTATTGTGTTCCTTTGGACTTGTCTCTCCTCACATTAAAACCAGACTTTCTTAATTAGCAGCTTTAACATATGCGTTTATGGTTACTAGTATAAATCCAACTTTGTTTTTCAAGATTGCATCTATTCTTGGCCCTTTGAATTTCTATCAGTCTGTCAAGTTCTGCCAGAGAACCTGTTTACATTTTGACTGGAGTTGCATTATATCTATAGATCAGGTTGGGTAATATTTTTAATATTTTAAACCAATATTAATGTAATGAGACATAATGTTACATTTTTACAATATCAAGTCTTCTGATCCATGAACTTGGTGTGCCTCATTTACCTGAGGTCTTCTTTGTTTCCTTTGACATAGTTTGGTTTCACTAGGATATGTCCACATATTCTTTTTTTATTTCTCCTATGTGGGATTCATTGGGCTTCTTACAGTCATGAATTGCTGTATTTTATAAGTTTTGCAAAATTCTTAGTCATTATCTGTTCACATATTTCATTCTCTTTCCACTTCTTCTGAGACTCTGATTATATGTATGTATGTGCATTGTGTGTGTACAGTTATTTGTACTAATACACATATTCTCTATGTATTTTACCCTCTCTCCTGTATTTTCTGCCTTTTGTCTCCCCCTGCTGTATTCTGGGCAGAATGGCCTTATTTCGGCTCTTAATTTTGGCTATTGCATTTTTTAATTGGTAATTTTCAAATCTGCTTTGTCATTCTTCACAATGTCTAATTCCTTGCTGTAACTTTCAGGTATTTCTAATATTTCTTTGATTATAGTAAGCACAGTACTTCTATAGCTCAGTGTCTAATTCCATTCACTAGTGGATGTTTTTATAGATTTGTTTTCTGCAGTCTGTTGTTTCTGCCAATCTTTGTTCATGCTGTTTTACTTCCTTCTGTTCCTGGTGGAAAACTGTACACCAGACATTGTATTCGAATAAAAGAAATGTAGAAACAATCTGCAGTTTAGGATGATCGTATCTTCCTCAGAAACAGACTTCCAACATTCCCATCAGATGGCTGGGGCATGACCCACCTCCAGCCACTTTAATGCAACTTGACATTCCCTGGTGAACAAAATCAGGCTGGACCATGGCTTACCAGCTTCCAACTTCCCCTTCTCCAGGATGTGAAGCTTTTTGGGATCCCAGACTGAAGTGGTGGAAGGTTTCTCAGACTCAACACCTGGGGGAGCTATAAGTGTTGATTTTTGCCCCTCTTATCAAGTAAGAAAGACCCAAGTGTCTTCTTCCATGTCAGTAAATGTCCTCAGAGTGAAAGGAGTTTTCAGTGCTGGATTGACTACTCTGGATTCTCAGTTTCTTGTAGAATTCCTCATTATCTTGTTTGTTCTCCAGCACTTCTAAGATTTTTTTTCATGCAGTTATTTTAACAGTCCTCAGCCAGAAGGTTATTTTGAACTACTCAGCCCATGACTCGTACTAAACCTGACTTTCTTACCTCATTTGAAGTAATTCAATAGAAACATCTTAAGTACAAAGTTAAGTACAAAGTTCACTAATGAGCACTATTTTTGTCCTTGAATAGAAGTATTTCATAAGAGGCAGCCATAGTATCTCATCCAAGAGATTTTGAGCCAGAGCTAGTGTTGATGTTATATTTTCTTGTCCCAAGTGTAGGATGTACAGATCCTGCCCGATGATCTCAGTTTATTAATCCTGGTTCTTATTTCAATATGAATTATTATTCCGTGGTTTTTCCATCCGTGTTTACTACCTTTCTACATTTTTGTCATAATTTATAGGCGAGGTCCCAAGTTGTGTAATTGCATATTGGATACAGAATTTCATCACTCAATAAATTTATGGCATACTTACTGTGTGCAAGGTAATATGCCCAGTGCTGTGGAGTCACCCACATGACTGACGCCCCTCCAAGGAAATGTGAAGCACATCCTCTACTTCAATTGCTTTGTTTTTTTTGTTTTTTTTTTTTTCCTAGATCGCTGAGCAACTACACAAAAATCGTTTACAGAACAAGGATCTACGGGAGAAATTTCAGACTCTTATCAGACAATATAAGATTGTCTTAAACGAGGAGGATAAACTTTTTATGCAGAAACAGAAAATTTACAAAGAGTATGTTTCTATCCGTGATCCGTAAATGAATCAGCATGCCATAGTTATGGAGTGCCCTACCTGGCCACAGGATGGTGACTCTCCACTTCAGCTTCTCCTAGTTTTCAAATCTGTTGACAACCGTGAAATATTATTTACCCCAAATACATAAGCACACTCCTAATCTGCCTCTCTATGCACTGTGTAATGCTTTCCGTCTATGGGTCAGATCAGATCCATAAACACCGTGTGCATTATATTTACTTCTAAATCAGTTCCAAAAAAAAAAAAAAATCCTGCTGATCCTATGAGACTGTCTAGAGAAACTGTGAGATCCACCTTCATCAGAAACTGGCTTTGTACCTCTATTCCCTATGTCAGAGAAGGCTTTGGTCACTGAGACTGGGAAATTATTCAAGGAAATTCCTATCTTTTACTACCTGTTGGACTCCATTCAAGCACCAAGGCTAGTCAATGCTACCTCCCCGATGTTTCTCAGATATACCCCATTTTCTTCTCCAACTCCATTCTCTGGTTTGTCCCTCCAAAGCTCTCCCCACTTTCAGCTTTACCCCCTTCACTTGTTGCCCTCCCTTCCACCAGAATGATCCTTCTGAAACCTATATCTCCTTAAACACAGCTTAGTAGATAGTGGGCATTCACCAATAGTTTCTTAATGAATACAGACCAACATCTTCCAAGCATGAATTCTTTAAGTAATAATCCATCACCACAGGTGATATGCGATTACTGGGGAGCGTAATTACAGTGTCCAGGCACGCTGACGTGAAACTGTGGGGTATTGGAGCTGCAGACAGCTTTGCGATCATTCTATCTCATCCAATTTAAATTGCGTACTGAGAATCTGTTGTTAGGAGTTCTTTAGGCAAAAATTTCCCCCAGAGGAATACTGTTATCAGTTTTGATCATAAAATGTGCTGATGAGAAACAATTGTAACACTAAAACATTTACTGTTGTTCCTGGTTTTTGTCTTCAACTGGGGCTGCCCTAACTGAACCCCACACTCTGGGTGGTTTCAACAACAGAAATTGATTTCTCAATTCCAGAGGCTGGGTGTCCAAGATCAGGGTGCCTGCATGGTCAGGTTCTGATAAGAGCCCCTTTTCCTAGCTTGCACATGGCTGTTTCTCACTGCATTTTTACATAGTAGAGAGAGGATGAGGACAAGCTCTCTGGCGTCTCTTCTTATGAGGGCCTCCACCCCATCATGACCTCTTCTAATCAGGCGACCTAATCTCTTCGCAAAAGCCCCATCTTCAAATACCATCACCCTGGGTGTTGGGGCTTCACCATATGAATCTGTGGGGGACACATTTCCGTCCATAGCAGTTTTGAAGATGAGACACAGAAACAGAACACTTTCTGTTACAGGAATGTCCCTATCAATGTCTGGAAACAACTGACATTGAACAAAACTGTATGCTTCCCATTATTCTTTCTGCAAATGGGAGACAAAATATAACCACTTTGTATAGAATGCCTCGTGGGTGTCATGCCACACACTGGCTTGAGCTCTTTTCATCGCATTTAATCTTGACATGTGGTGAGCATTTGTGGGCCCTATTTTATGAATGGGGAAACTGAGGCTCATCCACAGGCAGAGTTTTTTCCTGAGGTCACACTGCTAGAAAGAGCTACACCCAAAATTTAAAGTTGTTATGACTGGTTCCTTCACTCTTCACAAAAGAACATGGTAGAATTGATAAATGCATTACAAGGGACATCCCCACTCAGAGGGATGGAGTCTATAGTATCCTTCTTGTGGTTTATTAATTAATAATTAATTAATGCTCTTCCCATGGCTTGGGGATTTTTAGAAGTTTAGATTTAGCCATGACTAGCAAAAAGATTGTTTCTATTTTTACTCATTTGTTCAGTTAATAGTTTATGAGCTGAACTTCCCAGCCTACTTTCTTACATTCTTATTTGTGATTCTATATCCTCTCTTGCTGAGGAGTGAAAATGATGATTTCACCCTTCCACATATGATAACTGTTTTTTTTTTTTCATGGTAGGAATCAGAAACAATTGGTGTTCATTTCTCAGAAAGAAAACTTCCTATCACAAAGAAAAGTAGACATCAGAAATATGGAAGAAGGACTTGTCACGCTCCATGATCTTCATCGGTAGGCCTTTGAAACTTTTCGTCTTCGTCTTCTCTGCATTTATATTTTAACATACGGTAACAACAGAGCTGACAACCTCTGATGTCTTATAGAAAAGGAGGCTTATAAACCACTGTCTCTGTTTTACGGTCTAGAAGTTTCATTATCATCGAACCTATCATTGAAAGGTTAGGCAGGTCCTAAGTTCCATAAAAGCTACATGTCCATGCAAGGACATGAGAAATGGACCCATTAACACTCCAGTAACAAGAACATGCCTAAACATTGTCACAACACAGACCCCCCCCCCCATGGTATTCATTTCTGCCATTCTAAATCCCTTTAATTTTTCTGGTTGAAAAAGTAATGCTTGCACCTGATTTTAAAATTCAAATATAGAAATGTTTAGCTTAAAGGAGTAGAAGTTACCCTAATCTCCATACCCTTCCCCCAAGATCTCAGTGTTAACAATTTGCTCTATATATGCTTTCCATATAGGAGTATGTTTGTACATCTAAAAATGGGATTGTCCTTTTCTGTAACTAGAATTTTTCCACTTACATTTGGGTAACTTACACAATATTATGCTTCAGTTGTAGCCCAATAAAAAGCTGGAAAAAATATATCTATGAGAAATGATGAATATGGTAAATGATAACATTTGGAGAACTTGGTGAAAGGTATGGGGGGAATGTTTGTATTAATTTTTACACTTTTCTGATTTTAAAACTATCAGAAGAATACAAAATTCTGTATATGGGGCCTCATTCCTCATTCTTTCTTCAACTATATAATAATTCTTTTACAGATTATGTTGTTTTATTTAACCAGTGCCCTACTGATGGACTTTGTTTTTGTGTTTTCTGTGTGTGTGTTTTCTATATTACGAGCACTATTCAAAGTTCACATCAAATAAAGATATACTTTAACATGTATATCTCTGTCCACCTGTACAACTATTTCTTTATAATAAAGTCCTTTAAAGTTGAATTACTGGATCAAAGGGGTTATATATTTTTTCATTTTTATAATTTGAATATGTTTTGTTATTTGAATACAGGGCAGTGGAGCAACTAGCTTATAGTACTAAGATAGTGATGATTGAATTTGACCTGTACCAACAGAAATCTAGAACATGCAGGATGTGTGGATTGCTTGTCCTTATGCTGTTAAACAACATATTTAAACATCTGTTTCTCATGTTGGTTTCAGAAGGGAAACTATGAACTCTTCACTGTGAGAGAGCAGGAAAACAGAATTAGTTTGAGTAGGGCTCCTATTTTCCACATGATTAATAGAGATTCCATAACCGGTTGTTATGCCATCATTGCTGTGGGCACCAGGAAACTCAGAGCCAAATTTGCGACCTAATATCGGTTTCCACTTAGGACTTTGTGTATTACGATTGTGTTATTTTAAACTAGTTCAACTTCTCGGTGAATTAAACCAAATATATAAATAAATAAAATCACTGAGGTTGGGGCACATTGTGAAGAAACTTACAGTTCTGGGGAGGATAATAGATTAATTGAGGTAGGAAATCAAGAGCCCAGACTATGATTCAAATGGAGAAAAAGGCCAGAACACGGTTGTTTCTAGTTTCACAGCATATTACCTATTCTGTTTCAGTGATGAATATTTCTATTTTTCAAAAGACAAAGTCATATTTTATTTTTCTGTGTCTGAAGCACTTAATAGGAAAAAAGGGAATAAAAATAACCAAGTCTTCTAAAATCTGTGTTAGACTCTTCATGTTTCTATCCATCCCAGATTGACATTCAATTGTTACTTACCCCTAGTACAAAAATCAATATAGGCTTTCTCAATTATACATTGCATCAAATCAGGACTCAGTCTAGAATCCAAAGTTTCTCACCCATTTGTTGACCTTCACCTGTCCCATGTCACCATTATTACTTCCCTCGATGTCCTCTGTCTGCAGCAAGTCCGTGTTGGTCAGAAGAGTCTTGACTTGCTTCTCCTTTTCCGTGTCTTTGCAAAAGATGATGTCCTTTCCATTGTGGGATTCCACCTCCATTCTGCGAATCTGTCTTCCTCCCTCTGTTAAATATTAAACTCCAATAAGCTTTCCTCAGTTGTCTCCCCAGAATCTTTTCTTCCCTCCCTTGGGTATCCACCACAATACTTGCACTTGTATGAAATCATAATTTTCTCTGAGTCTACCACTACCTTTAGTTGTTGCACTATGTTTGGTTTGTCTCCCAATTAGATGGTAATCTTCTTGTGCACAAGAATGATACATCAAGTCTTTTGTAAATTCTGCTGGCTTCCACAAATGCAAAACCCAACGTATGTTTTCTTATTTTTAGAGCAACAAAGTCAGTTTATCGGAAACAAATAGAAATCCTGAGTGATAACCTGGAAAGAGAAAATCAGAGATGGTAAAAAAAAAAAATTCATTTGTGTTATGAGTAGTATATGTTTATCTTAATGAATAGTGCCCCAGCGTTGGGAGGAAGTCAGAGTACTTGTTGCTGGCTGGAGTCCAAGGAAATTAGTTTCCTAAATTAAATTTTGGGTTCTCTCAGATCTAGATGTGTTTGTTATTTTGATGTTGGGACATTGAACAGAACTAGAGTTTCCCATTTCAATCAAGTGAACTCACCAAAGAGTGAAATTGTCAAGACTGGTGCAGTACCTCTTGCTCACCAGGCGTTGGTGTGGACCAGTAGAGGAGGTGACAGAGGAGTGCAGATAAATGTACAGGCTCTGAAGATGGGTTGCTTTGGCTGCTCTGTCTCCTACTTGCTCTGTGCCCAAGGCCACATTATTTAGCAGTCTCTCTTCTCCCATTCCTGCAAAGTGGCCAATGATGGTAGCACTCACCCTGTGAGGTCACCATGAATGGTAGATGATCTGTATCAAGTATTGAGATGACTCCCTGGCACCAAGGAAGTATTTGCAAAAACTTAACTGTATTTTATTGTTGTTGTCATTGCTATTAATATCATGTACAAGACTTCAGTTGCACATTTTTCACCCTCCTCCAGTGTAGCTTTTTTATGTGGCCATGGAAAAGTTTGGAGAACCCAGAAGGTTGAAATCCTTTATTAGCACTCTGGGTAATTTAGGGAATTTCACTACTATTCCTGCCTGGGTCTCTTCTCTTAGCCATCTGCCCCTGAACCTTTCCCATTCCTATCCTTTACCTAAAGGAGGGGAGCTGCCACATGTGGTCTGTCTACTGTCCTATTAGACGTATAATCATATTAAGATTGAATTCTTTCATCTAATTCTTTCATTCTAAGCTTTGAATTCTTTCATCTTTTCAGTAAACCATGATGTCAATTTAATGATGATTCTTTGTGTTCAAATTTCTAGTGTTATAACTCAGTGGAGAGTAGCTTGTTTGAGAAAAAAACACGCCCGTTGGGAAAAGAAGATAAAAATTGAAATAGGAGAAATTTTAGATAAAACTCAGAGTTTGGAGCTCAGACGCGCTGAATTATTGCAAGAGGTAAAGGAAGTCCAAGAACTTAATAGGATTACTCCATGTTAGTACAGCCTTAGAATTACTACCTCGTTATCAGTGATTCTCCTTCAACACCTAATTCAACCTTACCTTGTTAAAAGATGTTTTCCTTTCTGGCAATGCTTAGAGTGCATTGTTTAACTTTCTTAAGGAGTGTATCTATTTGTTGTGTATTAAGTGTAGGAATTTAGCAAACAAAGTAGCACTTCTTTCTAGAAGATGCTTTTTGAAACAGGCCACCAGAAACTTATTTGATGTTAACTTTTAGGGAAGCTCTCTCTAAAAAAAAAAAAAAAAAAAAAAACAAAAAAAAACTAAACATCACTTTAGCTCTAGTATTGGCCCTCTGCCCGCGGTCCGGCCCCCACCACTCCCATTCCCCATTTCCTCCTGTAGCTTATAGATATTATCTGGTGAATAAATTAACCTCTGCAGGGAAAATGAAGTGTTCCTCTCAGTGGTAACTGTGAAATAATATAAGCTAACACCGGAGCCACGTCTCATGCAAAGAGATATTCACTCTTGGCTGTTTGAAAATGTGAGGCTGACGGCTACAAAGGCAAATGGCAAATCTTCAGGTTTGGGTTTTTTTTTTTCCCCTTGGTAGACCACTGTACGAGAAAAAGAGATCACTGAATTTTTGGCAGAGATCGAAAAAGTTACATTAGAATTAAAACAAGCGGAGGAGAAATTTATTGTCAAAGAAAAAAAGTTAATTCAAGAGTTGAGCAAGTATGAGGTAAGTTTTGTTTTACATCTAAGAATGATTTTAGATGGCTCTGGGGGGAGGGGTATATTTCATGCTATTCTAATCAGGTCGACATAAAATCTTCAGTATGATCCTTTTTTTTTTTTCCCAGAAAAAAAGAGCAAAAAAGCATTTTTTCTTTTTTCAGTTAGAACAGAAAATTAGACACTTCAAGTTGGGTAGAAGTACTGGCAAAGTCCATGGGGACAGGTGGAGGACAGCAAGGAGCCATGGCGATCCGGCCTGGGCTGGCTAGGGAAAGCAGCAGAGGGCTAGGGAGGCCAGTCAGGCCAAAGGCAGAAATCCTCGTTAAAGAGGGGGCATCCCACTGAGTTGGGGCTGCTAGGATCCAATCTGGGGTGAGCATGGATGCTGAGCAAGGTAGAGAAAAAAAGCAGAGTGTACCCAGGGGGCCCAGAGATGGCAGGTCTCTGGAAAGACAATGGAAGACACAGCTTTTCAAGGTGATGGTGTTACCTTGAAAGGTGAGGGGGTGTTTCTGAGAGACCTACCTTGGTACACTGGAAGGAGGAGAAATGAGATGGTGGGAGAAACCCTTCTGAACTTGATTCGTTTTGAAGAGGAACAGAGGTCTGGCTGCATGAAAGAGGGGCTTTCTTTGAAGACAACTGTCCCTTGCCAGAGCGGGGGAGCAGGGGGTCCTGACATTTCAAAGTATAGTTCTAGCCAAGTCCACACCTCCCCGCACAACCCCCACCAAATCCTGCAGAAATTGTCTGCAGATAACTGGTGCAAGAAAAGCCAGCTCCTTCTAACAGGAATGACAGAGAAGGAGCAGCTATGTCCCCCACACAAAAATAGTAGGAGAAAAACAAGTGAAAGAGGGAACAAAAGTTTCCAACAGGATAAGAACACTCAGAAAGGTGGTGTTGGAATGTATAACATCTGATCAAATGCTCCTCCATAAATTAAAAAAAAAAACACTGTAATTTCATAGAAGTGCCAAGGAAAGTCAGCCACGTAGAAACCTAGGAACTTAGGGAAGAGGGATCTGAAGGGGATGGCCAGAAATAAGAAGAGTGAGATGGAAACTGGCACAGCTCATGGAACAAAGAAAGGAGAGAAAGCATTGCACAAATTCAGATAAATTAGAAAAAATGGAAGGGAATCAGGGTGGGAAGTATTTCTCCATCAGTTGCCATCTGTCTGGGTGCCTAGTATTCTCGATGCTGAATCCTGCACACACAAAAGATGACAAAACTCTACTCTTATGGTGCTCACATCCCAGTGGAGGGAGATTGAAAATAAACAAGATAAACAAGTGGAACATTTAGTATATTCAGTGGTGAGAAATGCTATAGAGGAAAATAAAGCAGGGACCAGGGATAGGGCGAGTGTGTGATGCAGCCCATGTGCCGTGGGAAGGAGGACCATGAGAGAAGGAAGGGTAAGTCCTGGAGGCCGTGAGGACCTGGGCTGTGTAGCTACGTGCAGAAACGGGCTCCAGGCAGAGGGCATGCCCAACACAAAAGATTGAGGCAGGGCTGTCCCCTCTGGGGAATACCACGGAGGTAGTGTGCTATCCTATCAGATAGGAGTGGGAGGGAGCCATCTTCCAGAAGTAGATGTTGAGCTGGAATGAGGAGTGCAGAGGTTTATTAGGGAGTAACACCTGTGAAAGGACTGGGCAGGGGGAAGCCATCGGACATTATGGAACCCGCAAACTCTATGTGGGGTGCTCCTGAGCAAGGAGCACCTTGTCCGTTAGTGGAGCCCTGCCTGGGGCAGGAATGACCCCACCCATGCACCACCTCCTTGCTCAATTGGTTGATTGGGGGCCACCCCTCAAAGAGCATGACCTTCACTAGATGACCAAGGAGACTCTGAAGGAGCCGACCACTGGAGGCTGGCAGTTGGCCACACTCCTTGCCACAAGGAGCAATCCAAGAGGGAGGGTCATTCCCAGGTCTGCCACTTGCTAGGCCATTGTGAGGACTTTGTTTTTTCTCTGCGTGGGCTGGAAAGCCAGTAGAGGGTTCCGAGTGAAGGGCTAAAATAATCTGATTTTCATTTAAATAGGAGCTCTCTAGCTGCTATGTTGGGTAAAATTTAGGAAGGCAGTGGTGGAGGCAGGAAGACCAGTGAGGAAGTCAGAACAATATTCCAAGTGGATCAAGTAGCTCGAACCAGAATGGTGACTGCGGAAGTGATTGAAAGCAGGCAGTCAGCATGTCGGGTATTTCTTGAGACAGAGCTGGCAGAGTTTACCATCATGCTTAATGGTGAACCAGTGGAGGCAGTCCCCATCAATCCAGCAGTGAGGTAAGGGCACTAGGTAACATGGCATTGAGGCTTAAACAGTGCAATTAGGTGAGGTCAGTAGGCCGTCTCCCAGCATCCATCCCACTTGCCGGGCTGTGCGCCCGCCGCAGGGCTGTGTCCACCTGTGTCTAATTCACACAAAGGCAGCTCGTGTGCCACTATTATAAAGCAACAACCCCCTTTCCCTTGATAATCCTCATCAGTAACCCAGAGCAAACTGGAAATTGGAGTCGCATTTCTGCCTTTGGTTTGGGATGTGAGGAGCCACAGCCTTCTACATTATTCTCATCTGGTGCTGACACATTGATCACGAGTGGGACCGCTGGATCCTACAGCCCTGTGTCTGGCAGGGTTCAGTCAGAGAAGCAGAGTCCCCAGGACAAGGGTCCGTTAGAGGATGTGACCTTCTGCGGTGGTGGGAGCTGCTTACACAGTCCAGTGAGGCTGTCAGTGTCCCATCTGGAGCGGGGGCCTGAAGGCTGCAGGGCAGGCAGGTGGCAAGGAAAGGTGGACAGGAAGTCATAGGACGAGCTGGAATACATCCCGATGAGCAGGGACTGGGACCCGCATCAGTCTCTCTCTTTCCAAGGCTCCAATTCCAAGGGGTTGCCACAAAGGCCAGAGCCCACCATCACTGAAGTAAGTGTGCACGTGGCTCAGGAATCAGGGAACCTTGAAGGAGCTGAAGAAGCTGCGGGTCTGACTGAGTCAGGAGACAAATGCTAACTTGCCTGAGAGGCAGCAGCCCGTGGTACCAAAACCCTCCCTGAGAGCATGAAACAAGAGCATGGTTTCTTGTCAGGGAACTGTTGGCAGCTAAGTTGGTATAGACAATGGGGATGAATTCATGCATTCACATACCTCCTGAGACCCCCAAGCTCTCCTTAGAGAACATAATCTAGATAAGACACAATTGAGTTTCATAACACTGCAGTGGGGAAAAATTTACTCCTGATTCTGCATTGTAATAGGTTTAAATTATGGTGGTGTGTTTTTTTTTGTAAAGATTTTATTTATTTGACACAGAGAAATCTCAAATAGGCAGAGAGGCAAGCAAAGAGTGAGGGAGAAACAGGCTTCCTGCTGAGCAGAGAGCCTGATGCAGGGCTCGAGCCCAGAACCCTGAGATCATGACCTGAGCTGAAGGCAGACACTTAACCAACTGAGCCACCCAGGTGTCCCTATGGTGGTGTTTTGTTTAAAGATCTTATTCATTTATTTTAGAGAGAGAGAGCGCACACGAGCAGGAAGAAGGACAGAAGGGGGAAGGAGAGGGACAAGCAGATGCCGCACTGTGTGGAGCCTGGCATGGGGCTCAGTCCCATGACCCTGAGATCATGACCTGAGCCGAAACTAAGAGTCGGCCCCCTAACTGACTGAGCCACCCAGGGAGCCCATTAAATAACAGTGTTTTTTTTTTTTTTTAATTTATTTGACAGACAGAAATCATAAGTAGGCAGAGTGGCAGGCAGAGAGAGAGAGGGGGAAGCAGGCTCCTACCTGAGCAGAGAGTCCGATGAGGGTCTTGATCCCAGGACCCTGAGATCATGACCTGAGCCGAAGGCAGAGGCCTTAACCCACTGAGCCATCCAGGCACCAAAATTACAGTGTTTTTATCTATGTTTTTGTCTTTCTATATTCATTCTTAAGGATCTAATGGCAGTTCGGGAGGGGACGTATGAGGCTGGCATGTCACTGTATTAATTAGGGCACAGATAAGCTGCTTTATCAAAGAGTTGCCAAAATACAGTGAACATAAACAAGACATGTGTAGTTAAGTGTTAGCAACCCTCTCTCCTTTATTGGGAAATTGATCTTGGCTTAACTTTCTGGGTCATTCCCGTAGAGCCTGGTAAAGTTAGACAACCAAAGTTGTACTATCAGGCAACATTGCTTGTACGGAATGACCCGTGATTGGTATGCTGCATCTCGATGTGAAGATTAACTGGTGAGAAACTAGAACATTGGATTTCCCTGGACTTGGTGCTTCTTCTAAGTGGACGTGTCCCTTTCTGGGACCTAGAAGTTATACCCAAACGATGCTGACTCCTGTTGGAGCATGAGAACTTCAAAACCAGGGGGGCTATCACATCAGCTCATGTGGTGTCTTCCTCTTCCATCTGAGTTATCACTTTGGTGGGGTCAAAGGACACTACTAGCCTCTGGTCAGCTGTGTTGTGAGGGTACCTCCTTGGGGAAGCATGCCAAGCATTGCCCTGTGGCACCCAGGGGTTCCTTCGGATTATGTGTGTGTGCAACTTGGATAAAAATAAAAAGTGAAAAAAAAATTTTTTTTAATAAACTGGGTCAAGTATGGCCTATTCAAATCTTAAAAATCTGAGTATCTAGTTGAGAAGATCCCCTGATGTCATCATTCTAGAAGAGGAATGTTTATGTCTCTTTCCCATTACAGGCCAAAGGGAAGGGGTCCAAGCTTGGTAGGGCAGCTCCGCCATCCTCAGCATGACGCTGACATAGGCACATCCAAGTGGCAGTTTCCCTTCTCATTCTTTTCCAGCCAGGCGAAGGAGGGAAGGACCAAGCGGGCACATGCTGCTTTCTGTGGAAGGGGGGGGGGGGACCCAGAAGTGGCACATATCACTTCTGCTCACAGACTCATTAGTCACACCTACTTGCAAGGAAAGCTGAGAAATCATTGTAGCTGGCAGCCGTGCACTGAGCTAGAACCCAGAAGTCCTGATATTGAAGGACAGAATAGTTAGTAAATGTCAGCTGGCTGTCTCCGCTGTAGTCCCCATGACAAACCCATCCTGACTTTCTAAGGTCCCATCAGGACCTTTCTAAGGTCCAACTTTTATTTCCTTTGAAACTAAATAAGACCTGAACAATTAAGCAGGCATTTTCATGTTTTGTTTGGGACACTTTTTGCCCATTTAGTGTAGAAATATATATAATTATTTCTGCCTTTTCCCCATTTCTTACTTGTACCCACACTTCTTAGGACTTTTGTATATTCTGTTTTATTCCCTATTCTCCCACACACACAAAATATGATCAAATAAGAGAGATTTTCTCAAATAGATGTTTAGGGTAGCATTAATAGGATCTTAGCAGTAGAGCCAGAGAAATGAATGGATCTTTAGAAAGCCCATTGAATCTAATCTCCTTACTTTGTAGATTGCCAGAGAGTGAGTCAATCAGCCAAAAAATATTGTTTAAATACCTAGTATGTGCCAAATGCCTTTCTGTGCATCTCAGGATAAGAGGACATTAAGAGAAAACTCTCCCTCTTGAAGAACTTACATTCTGCTTTGGAGTATAAATTGTGTAAATTCTCCAAATTCTGCTCACAATTAGCTTTATTTTCTTTAAAGAAAAAATTTGTTAAGGCAACACAAAGTAATAAAGAAAAGGCAGAGGAACTAGTCGAGTGTCTTCCACAACTTCAAGTGGCAGAAGAAGAGTACAAAAGCAAAAGTGGAAAATTTGAAGAGCTCAGTAATATTATTACAGGTATGTATGAAGCTCTTAGTAATTGACCTTAAGTCCAGGTAAGGATTTCTCTGTTCTCTTCTAACACAAGGGAGGGTCATCAGTCACAAGCCAGTGGTGAAATTGTCTAAACTTTTGCTATCACCTTTAATTCCCTCTTTTCTAATTTTTGCCTCATCTACTAATTTCTTCTCCTTTACATCACAGTCTTATTGTTGCTCTTGTTAAATTTTTCCTTTTCTCTTTTAAAGACTTTAAAATTAACAATTAGTAGCAACTGTATTATGTGGTTTCTCTCTGTACTTTGTAAAGGTAGAAAGAACTCCTTTAACCTTTACCATATGGAGTGGGGTTTTTTTTTAAAGATTTATTTATTTTAGAAAGACCACAAGGAGGGAGAAGGGCATAGGGAGAGAGAGAAAATCTTAAATAGACTACCCACTGAATGTGGAGATAGAAATCAAAACAGTCTATGTCAAAAAGATACAATCATATGGAAACACAGTATGTTGAAATGTAAAACAAATATTTTGAAGTGAATAGTGGTAATTGCCAAGCAAAGTGAATTTTAAGAATGTAAGATGATAAGCCCCAAATAGCCAAAGTAATGTTGAAAAAGAAAACCAAGGTTGGAGGCATCACAATTCTGGACATCAAGCTGTATTACAAAGCTATAATCATCACAACAGTATGGTATTGGCACAAAAACAGACACATAGATCAATGGAACAGAATAGAAAACCCAGAAATGGACCCACAACTCTAGGGTCAATTAACTTTTGACAAAGCAGGAGAGAATATCCAATGGAAAAAGTCTCTTCAACAAATGTTATTAGGAAAAGTGGACAGCCACATGCAGGAGAATAAAAGTGGACCACTTTCTTACACCATATACAAAAACAGACTCAGAATGCATTAAAGACCTAAATGTGAGACAGGAATCCTTCAGAATCCTAGAGGACAACACAGGTGGCGACCTCTGTGACCTCAGCCACAGCAACTTCTTGCTAGACATGTCTTCAAAGGCAAGAAGCAAAAGCAAAAATGAACTATTGGGACTTTATCAAGATAAAAAGCTTCTGCACAGCAAAGGAAACAGTCAACAAAACTAAAAGGCAACTTATGGAATGGGACAAGATATTTGCAAATGTCTTATCAGATAAAGGGCTAGTATCCAAAATCTATAAAGAATGTATAAAACTCAACACCCCAAAAAAACAAAAAAATCCAGTCAGGAAATGGGCAGAAGACATGAACAGACATTTCTCCAAAGAAGACATACAGATGGCCAAGAGACTCATGAAAAATGTTCGCTATCACTCAGCATCAGGGAATTAAAACCACAATGAGATACCACCTCACACTAGTCAGAATGGCTAAATTCAACAACTAAGGAAACAATAAATGTTGGTGAGGATGCAGAAGAAGAGGAACTCTCTTACACTGTTGGAGGGAAATCCTCTCTGGAAAACAGTATGGAGGTTCCTCAAAAAGTTAAAAATAGAACTACCCTATGACCTAGCAATTGCACTATTAGATATCTATCCAAAGAATACAAACTTAGTGATCTGAAGGGGCACCTGCACCCCAATGTTTATAGCAGCAATATTTACAATAGTCAAACTATGGAAAGAGCGTAGATGTCCATCAACAGATGAATGAATAAAGAAGATGTGATATATATGTGTGTGTGTGTGTGTGTGTGTACACACACACAATGGAATATTATTCAGTCATCAAAAAAGATGAAATCTTGCCATTTGCAGTGATGTGGATGGAACTAGAGGCTATTGTGCTAAGTGAAAGTAAGTCAGAGAAAGACATATACCATATGTTTTCACTCATATTTGGAATTTAAGAAATAAACAGTTGAACATAGGACAAGGGAAGTAAAAATAAAATAAGACAAAGCAGTGAGGGAGACAAGCCATAAGAGATTCTTAATTATAGGAAATAAACTGAGGGTTATAGGAGAGGAGGTAGAAGGGGTAACTGGGTGATGGGCATTAAGGAGGGCACTTGAAGTAATGAGTACTGGCTGTGGTCTGCCACTGATGAATCACTAATTCTACCTCTGAAATGAATGATATGGTATATGTTAATTAAATTGAATTTAAATAAAAATTTCTTAAAAAGAATGTAAGATTATAAAAATAAGTACTTTGGATAATTGGTCTGGTTGCCATTCCTCCATTGATTTTCCACTTCTTGCCAGATTTTCATTTAGTTAACTCAGGTAGATTTTTTTGGGTTTTTGCTACTTCTACCAAGAGTCATGATACACATGTACTCCATCCCCAATTTTCTGTTCTCCCAACCTTTCCTCCCATCCCTTCTTGTGCTAAGATGGAGGATGTAAGAAACAGGATGAGTATGAAAATAAGCAATGTATTATCATATATTACAAGTTCTGATTCTCTTGAGGCAAAGAAAAGAGAGAACTACTAAAGAAAGTAGAGAAAAGATAGGAAGGCAAGAGACAGGTAGAAAAGGGAACATAAGAGCAATGTGTTCCAGAGAGTAGAAAAATATGCTTTACCTGTAAGCGTAAGACTTACAGAGGATAGAATAGGCTCAGTACATACAAAAAACAATGTAATGACTTTTGGCTAAATCTGATGGGTAAAATATGCATCTATCTTTGCTCCCTAATGAAACTTCATAACAAATATGTGTAAAAGATTTTTTTTAAGGGAAAAATGTTATAAACTCACAGATATAGAGACTGGCAGAGAAGATATCCACAGGTAATAAACATCAACACATTTTTGGAAAGTGTGATTGGATAGAGGTATTAACAGGAAGGGGAATACGAGTAGCAAGTGCCTGCAAAATAGCACACCATGAAAGCAAGACGTTCTCTCCACAAGACCCGGCAAGTCTTGGGCATTGGAAGACCCTGATACCGTGAAGCTGAGATGGGTCATGGAGCTGAAGATTGGTTGAAAATCTTTATAAAAAGCAGTGAGACTGGCAGGTCAGATGCTGTCTTCTGTGCAGCTGAGTGACTATTCCTCCGAATGCGAGCAGAGAAGTTGTTGCCCCAACAGATTCTGAACTGCAGGATATCAAATATGACTGAGAGTAGAAGACAGATGTTGTACAGAGACCCCCCCCCCTTCCATTGGTCGGCTTGATGAAGGCTGCCAGCTGTGTGTAACTGTTCTCTAATCCCTCCCCCACCCCACTCTGAAGAAGGAGGTGGTTGGATTCTTCTCTAAGGAAACCAAACCATCTCAGAGAAAAGCCTGACATAATCTAGCATTTCAGGATCCCCCAACAAATTGGCTGGTTCCTTCCTTATCATTGTACAATGAAGCCCACCAGGAACTGAAATTTTAGTGCCTCATGCTTAATTAGGAGTGAACAATCAAAGATCACCAGACACCTGAGGAAAAATTCCAAAATGAAATGTAGAAACTAAAGCAGACAGAATAACAGGAGTTGATGGAAACATAGATGACCCAAAGAATGTAAGAATACTTTTAAAGGTAGATTCTTGGAGGATATATAGTCTCCTTGTATTATACATAATGTGTATTTGTAGTCTCTACATATTATAGAAAATATACATTCTATATATTACAGAAGATATATCTTTAACTTATATTTGTACAAAAAATACTGCATTTATGAAAAAAGAAGATGCTTAAAGAAAGAAAACAAGAAAGAGCTCTTAGAAATGAAAAAAAATAACCAAAATTTAAAAATTCAATAGGAGGATTCTATGAAAAGTTGAGGAAATCTCTCCAAAAACAGGAAAAAAACAAAAAAAAAGCTGAGGAACAGGATAAAATTTGAGTAAGAAAATTAGAAGACTATTCTGAGAGGTTGGATATCTAATTAACAGGAAGGTCAGAGAAGAGAAAATGGAAAAAATGCAAAGATCAAGTTATCCAAGAAATAATACAAAAATATTTCTTAGAATTGGAGAATATGAGTTTCCTACTTGAAAAAGCCCATCAATCCCCAGTGCAATTTCTGAAAGAAAAGATACTAAGTAACATCACTTTGGGATTTCAGGAGAAAAAAAATATCCCAAAGGCTTCTAGAGAGAAAAAGCAGACCTTACACAAAAGATTAGTAATCTGAATGGTTTCAGACTTCTTAACTATAGTATTATACTAAACGTTAGAAGACATTGCCTTCAAAAATCTGAGAGAAAATAGTTTCCAACATTAGCTGCCCGTTGAAACTATTAGTCAAATACAAATATAAAATAGAGATTCATTCAGATATAAAAGATGTCAAAATATCTCATTTACTCTCTCTCGGGAAGTTAGTACGAAACTTGCTTCAACAAAGAAGGAACAAATCAAGAAAAAGAGGAGGATGTGAAATTCAGGAAACAGGAGTCCAACACAAGGGGGATGCAAAAGTCCTAGGTGTTCAGCTGTCCAGAAGACCTAAAGAAAAATGAAAACAGAAGGCAGTGGGGGAGGGAAGACGAGGGGAGCTGATAGATCACCTAAGGTGTTTGACCACGTGGGAAGTAATATTTGGAAGATTTTATGATTCTATTTTAGATTTTGATGAATTAATGTATACATGGAAAACTAAGCAAGTAAAAAAAAAGTGAGGCTATTTTTATCTCCTAGAAAAACAAAAAATTATACAGGCAAGGAGGTATAATTTTACAACACTCCTCTGTGTCTCCTCTGTGAATAATATTTACGTTGTCATAATCTAAATAGTTAAAATTAATTTAAAAAATATGGCTTTATGGCAATGTTGGAAGGGGGGAAACAAAGAGGTTGTTAGTGTGGGTGGGGGACATGGGGATGGGAGTAAGCATTTCTATGTTGGGAAGAAAGTAGAAAATGTCTTAAAATAACAAATCAAGAAATAGCCATATAAGCATTTATTAAGAAAATAGAAGAAAAAGTCTAAATGAATTTAAAAATAGTTAATTCTGTGGAATTAAACATAAGGGTGGGTACTGTGTTGGAAAGGAACTGACTTCTGTTTTTTGTTATAAGCCTTATAATATATGACTTTTAAAATTAAGCACATGCCTTATTTCCATTTTTAAAAACCAAATGTGGGTATTTATTTTTTCTCTTATAGCACAAAAGCAGGAGCAGAATTTACTAAATGATTACATTTCTCAAATGACAAAAGATTTTTCAAGATATTTTAACAACACGGTAAAGAGTCAATGCATTCATTCTTTCTTTTATTAGAATACTGATATATACAAACTAATTGTGTGGATATACATATGTATACACAGAGACTCTGATGCAACTAACATGTAATCACAGGAAACTCATTGGGGGGCCCCCGTTTTCTTATTTAAAGTAGAAATTGGAAGATGCTTTCTAAGGTTCTTTTCAGATATATTATTCTGTTAATGTCCTGTGAAGATTAGGATAAGTGCACAGAGGTTGCAGAGGTGGGAAGGGAGTGGATAAAATGAGAGCAGGTGAAGAGTCATTTACTACCTTCTTAAAGTGTAGAATCAGTTGTTAGTGATAAGTGTGTGTATAGAGTTGGCCAATTTAAAATAGAAACATTCTATTTTTTGAGATGCACTGATATCAAAAGTAACTTTTATCATGTGGATATAGAAAAAGATGAAAGGGAAGAGTACTGTAGTAAGTATATTATATATGCAATTGTATTTTCTTAGTACAATTCTAGTGATGATCATACAATGACTAAAAATTACGTGATTTATAACAGTATAATGACTACGAACCAAATACAGAATTCAGTAGAAAATTATGAAAAATCCATAAAGTATTATTCTTTTCTCAAGAAATATTAAATCCTCCCTAAAAAAGCCTCAATAAATTCTACTTCCTTCTCCCCTATTTTTGCCATACAATTGTTTATATATCAAAGTATATTCTGTTTTATGAAGTTGTTTCAACAACTTTTTTTAACTTGCTTCCCAGAGTTTATGAAAAATTTCCACAAATCAGCTTTGGAGTTTTATTTATTGTTTATTCGATATATATTAATTGTATATCTATTAATTGTATAATTAACATATAGTGTTATATTAGTTTCAGGTGTTGAATCATTCAACAGTACTGTACATTACTCAGTTCTCATCATGATAAGTGTATTTTAATTCTCTTCAGTTACCCATCCTGGCACCCACCTGCCCTCTGGCAACCACAACTTTGTTCTCTGTATTTAAGAGTCTTTTTGTCTGTTTGTTTGTGTCCTTTTTTCTGTTTTGTTTCTTAAATTCCATGTCAGAGTGAAATCAGTATGGTATTTGTCCTTCCTTGGCTGACTTATTTTACTCAGCATTATATACTCTAGGTCCGCCCATGTTATTCCAAATGGCAAAATCTCATTTTGTTTTTATGGCCGAGGAATATTCCATTGTATATATGTACCACATGTCCTTTTTCCACTCATTTATCCATGGACACTTAGGTTGCTTCCATATCTTGGCTATTGTAAATAATGCTACAATAAACTGAGGGGAGGATATATCCCTTCAAATTAGCTTTTTCATATTCTTTGGGTAAATCCCTGGATTGTAGGGTATTCCTATTTTTAATTCTTTGAGGAACCTCTGTAGTGTTTTCCACAATGGCTATACCAATTTGCATTCTCACCAAAAGCACCCGAGGGTTCCTTTTACTCCACATTCTCTTGCTGTTTTTTGAGTTTTTCATTTTAGCCATTCTGGCAGGTGTGATGTGATATCTCATTGTGATTTTGCTTTGCATTTTCCTGCTGATGGGTGATGTTGAGCATATTTTCATGTGTCTGTGGGCCATCTATCTGAATGTCTTCTTTAGAGAAATGTCTGTTCATGTATTTTGCCCATCCTTAAATTGGATTAGTTGGTTTTTTAGTGTTAAGTTGTATAAGTTTTTTGTATTTTTGGATACTAATATGTGTATGTCAGATATGTAATTTGCAAATATCTTCTCCCCATCTGTAGGTTGTCTTTTAGTTTTGTTGATTGTTTCCTTTGGTGTGCAGAAGCTTTTTGTTTTGACATAGTCCAAATGGTTTACTTTGCTTTTGTTTCCCTTGTCTCAGAAGATGTACCTAGAAAACTTTTGCTGTGGCTGACGTCGGAGAAATTATTGCCTGTGATCTCTTCTAGAATTTTTATAGTATCAGGTCTTCCATTTAGGTCTTGAGTCCATTTTGAATTTATTTCTGTGTATGTTGTAAGAAGATGGTTTAGTTTCATTCTTTTGCATGTAGATGTCCGGTTTCCGCACCACTGTCTGTTGAAGAGACAGTCTTTATTGCATATTCTTGCCTCCCTTGTTGAAGATTAATTGCCATATATTTGTGGGGTTTTTTTCTGGGCTCTCTATTCTGTTTCATTGGTCTATATGTCTATTTTTGTGCCAGTACTATACTGCTTTCATTACTACTGCTTTGTAGAATATCTTGAAATCTGGGGTTTTAATACCTCCAGTTTTGTTTGTTTTAAGCTTGCTTTGGCTATTCAGGGTCTTTTGATGTCCCATACAAATTTTAGTATTGTTTTTTCTAGTTCTATGAGAAATACTATTGGTATTTTGATAAGGATCACATTAAATCTATAGATTACTTTGGGTAGTACAAATATTTTAACAATAATTATTCTCCCATTCTATGACTATGGGCTATCTTTCCATTTGTTTGTGTCATCTTCTATTTCTTTAATCAATGTTTTATAGTCATAGTACAAGTCTTTCACCTCCTTGGTTAAGTTTATTCCTAGGTATTTTATCATTTTTGGTGTAATTGTAAATGGGACTGTTTTCTTAATTTCTCTTTCTGCTACCTCATTATTGGTGTATAGATATGCGACAGGTTTCTGTATATTGATTTTGTATCCTGCTAACCTAATGATTCCATTTATCAGTTTTAGTAGTTTTCTGGTGGAGTCTCCAGGGTTTTTTATATGGAGTATCATGTCATCTGCAAACAGTGAAATTTTTACTTACCAATTTGGATACCTTTTATTTCTTTTGCTTGTCTAATTGCGGTGGCTCTGACTTCCAGTACTATGTTGGACAAAAAAAACTTGTGAGAGTGGAGAGATCCTTGTCTTTTTTCTGATCTTAGGGAGAAAGCTATCAGATTTCAACACTGAGTATGATGTTCGCTGTGGAATTTTCATTATGTTGAGGTATGTTTCCTCTAAAACTACTTTGTTGAGGGCTTTTTTTTTTTTTTTGATGTCATACTTTGTCAAATGGTTTTTCTGCATCTATTGAAATAATCATATGGTTTGTCTCCATTCCTTTGTTGACATGATGTATTATGCTGATTGATTTGCAAATATTTAACCATGCTTGTATCCCAGGAATAAATTCCACTTGAATCCTGGTGAATAATTTTTTAATGTATTGTTGAATTGCTAATATTTTGGTGAGAATTTTTGCGTTTATGTTCATCAGAGATATTGACCTAAATTTCCTTTTTTTGTAGTGTCTTTACATGGTTGTGTTATCAGGGTAATGCTGACTTCAAAGAATGAATTGGGAAGCTTTCCTTCATCTTCTATTTTTTGGAATAGTTGGAAAAGAATAGGTATTAACTCTTCTTTAAATGTTTGGTAGAATTTACCTGTAAATTTACCTGGACTTTCGTTTGTTAGGAGTGTTTTGGTTGCTTATTCAATTTCTTTGCTGGTAATCAGTCTGTTTAAATTTTCTATTTCTTCCTGATATAGTTTTGGGGGCTTCTATGTTTCTAGGAATATTTCCATTTCCTCTATGTTGTCTAATTTGTTGTCATATAATTTTTCATGATATTCTCTATCCTTTATATTTCTGTGGTGTTGGGTGTGATTTCTCCTCTTTCATTTCTGATTTTGAGTTCTCTCTTATGATGAGTCTGGCTAACAGTTGATCAATTTTGTTAACCTTTTCAAAGAACCAGTTCCCAACTTCATCCATCTGTTCTATTGTTGTTTTTTTTTGTTTGTTTGTTTGTTTTTAGTTTCTATTTCATTTGTTTTTTGCTCTAATCTTTATTATTTCCTTCATTCTACTAACTTTGGGCTTTGTTCTTCTTTTTCTATCTCTTTTAGGTAGAAGGTTAGGTTGTTTGTTTGAGATTTTTCTATCTTCTTGGGGTAGGCCTGTATTGTTATAAACTTCCCTTTCAGAACAGCTTTTGTTGTACCCCAAAGATTTTAGACTATTATGTTTTCATTTTTATTTGTCTCTGTGTATTTTTTTTATTTCCTCTTTGATTTTTTATATGACCCTTCATTGTTTAGTACTATATTATTTAAGTTCCATGTATGTGCTCTTTCCAGATTTTCCTTGTGGCTGATTTCTAGTTTTACAGCATTGTGGTTGGAAAGGATGCATGGTATAATTTCAGGTTTTTGCATTTTCTGAAATTTGTTTTGTGGCCTAATATGTGATATGTTCTGGAGAAGGTTCCATGTGCACTTGAAAAGAATATGTATCCAGTGTTTCAGGATGGAATATTCTGAATATATTTGTTAAATCTGTTGGTCCAATGTGTCCTTCAAAAATCACTGTTTCCTTGTTGATTTTCTGTTTGGGTGATCTATCCATTGATGTAAGTGGCATGTTGAAGTCTCCTACTATTATTGTATTACTATTGTTTACTTTCGTTTTTGTCATTGTTTGCTGTGTATTTGGGTGCTTCCATGTTGGGGGCATAAATATTTACACATATCTTCATGTTGGATTGTTATGATTATGATTCCCTTTATGATTCTATGTCCTTTGTTACAGTGTTTGTTTTAAAGTGTATTTTGTCTGATATAAATAATACTCTCCTTTCTTTTCACTTTCATTTGCATGATAAATACTTTTCCATCCCTTCATTTTCAGTCTACATATGTCTTTAGGACTGAAATGAGTATCTTGTAGGTAGCAAGATGGGTCTTGTTTTCTTGTCCATTCCATTACCATATGTCTTTTGTTTGGAGTGTTTAGTCCATTATTAATAGGTGTATATACTTAGTGCCATTTTTAACTTGTTTTTTGGTTGTTTTTGTAGTACTCTCTTTTTATGTTTTTTTGTTTTTTTCTCTTGCTTGCTTCTCTCACAGTTTGCTGGATTTTTTAGTGACATACTCAGATTTGTTTCTCTTTTTTTTGCATATCTATTAATGGTTTTTTATTTGTAGTTTCCATTAGATTTACCTAACTTCTTATATACACAGCAGATTATATTAGGTTGATAGTCA